AATTTAGTTTATTTAAGGTAATTAATTTCCTTATTCGTTAGCGGCTAGAGCGGCTAGGGTAATTAAAATTATTTAATTATTTCCGTTCTTGTAAGTTAGATAATAGTCGATAATAGCGGTAATATAATCGCGGCGCTCGCGGTCGAAATGTTCCTTTTTAGGATAATTATATTTAATATAACCTTTTTCTTTATAGAGAAAATATTTACTTTCGTTAAATAATCGAATAGTTTCTTTACAGTTACTACCTTAATAAATAGTTTTTCTACTTCCTTTATTAATAAATGTAGGAGCGGAATTAGAATTAGAATTAAAATTAAAACTTTTATTATTTTTATTAAAATTATTATTTTTATTAGTTTTAAAAGTAATTTTATTCTTATTAGTAATAATCTTTAATATTTATCTAAAACCGGAGCAATCTATATAGTAAGATTTAAAGGAGATAGAAGAATCGTAGTATTTGGTGCTTATTTATTTCTTATACTCAATTAAAAGGCGCTAAAATAATTTACGTTTCTACTTAATTTTAGAATGTTAATATTCGCTAACTATCTAAATAAATTTATTTTTAAAAAATCGAAATTATCGTTATTTTCTATTTTTAATTTAGTAAAATTCTAGAGTACGTTCTCCTCTTAGTTAGAGTTGTAATACTAACGCTATAAATAAATTATTAAATTAGAGTAAATTTTAATTTAATTTAAATAAGTTTCATATAAACATCATATTAAATTATACTAAGCGTAATTAATTAAACGATTCTTAATATATAGAAATTTATTATAGTCGGTTGGATAATAATCGGCGTTAATTTCGAACTTGTTTTAGATTAAATTATATTAAACTTCGAAAGGGATATTATCTTCCTTCTCCTAATTGTAATATTTAATAGAGTCGGTTTATTTAGTACTACAATAATAGGAATTAAAGCGCTCTCCATTATTAGGGTTAATTTTAGGGGGTAGGATTAAAAAGTGGGTAGAAACCTTAAGAGGAGCTTCGCTAGCATCCTTCTTGATACTAGGAAGTACCGTTTCTTTAACCTTTCCTTTATTTTTATTTTTAATTATTCCTTTACTAATATTTAAATTAATAATAAAAATTTTTAATCCCTTAATAGTATTTTCCTGTTTTATAAGGGAATCTTTTAATTATTAGACTATAGCGGGAATAGTAGCGCTATAACGGTCGGCTAAGGCGGGGACCTAATCGTAAATAATTTTAAATTTAATATTTAAGTAGGAAACAAAGTAATAAAATTCCAATACCTATTCCTTCTATATTATATATATAACAAATAATAATTTGAATTTTCAGATTATAGCCTAGGGGTCTCTATAATATAATTCGGTAAATTTTTTTTTAATTAAATAGCCGGAAAATAGGAAGTTTAAGGAAGGGAATAAAATTTAAAAGGGGATATTGGGGACGGAATTGCAAATAAATAATTTAATAATTTCTTCTATTTTTTATTTTAAATCGTTAGTAACTTCGTATTTGGTTAGGCGAATATTAAAGGCTTTCGTATTTTCAATTACCGTTATAATATATTAATCGAATAAATTAAAGGATAATTTAAACTGTTCGTTATCCTTTCCTATATTAGCGACCGCTTTAGCTAATACTTCGTTCGGTTACTTTAATAAATAATATATATAATATAAGGATTTTTTACGAAGGATTATAAATTTACTACGAGAGTATTCCTTATTAAGGTAGAGGCTATTATAGCGTTCCTTATTAAAATCTACGGCCTTATATATATTACTTTTAATAATAGAATTAATAATTTAATATTTAGGATTAAATTTCTTATTATTAATAACAATTTTCTTTTTAATTTTTAATTTAATAATTATATCCTCTTCTTATAAAGGGTCGGGATCGGAAAAGCTAGAGCCTCCTTTTCCATTACTATCTCCGCCCTCCTTTCCGAAGAAGGTATTATTACGTTCGTCGTTAGAAATATCCTCGTTATAATGATCGTTATCGTAGTTTTCAATCTATTCAATACTTTTACAACTACTGGCGCTATTACGTATTTAGCGTAGTAATACTATCGTATAGTTATTATAAATGTTCGGTGTTTTAAATTCTTATAATAGATCTTTTTGGTTTCGTTTTAAGATTCAGTTTTCTTAGGTAATTATTAGGTTAATTTGAAATAATGTAAGGGTATAGTATGGGTAAGTCGAAGGCAAAGTTAAAATTCTATTTATAATAGAAATTTTAGATAGGGAAAAGAAAAGAGGAAGAGAATTAAGTATAGGCGTATAGACTTAAATAAATACTTTAATAGTATAAGCGATAGTAGGACTTATATACGGGTTACTATTAATTAATCCCTTTATTTATATCCTCTTTACTTATATAGTAAACTTTATACGGGCTAAGATCTACCCTATAGCCGGTCTTGGTATAACCAATTGAAGGACTCATATCCCCTAGACCGTACTATACCTAGAATCCTCTATATATTTCATTCTAGCACCCTCGTGAACCACCTTCGTGCATAGCACCCAGACCTAGTCCGCCAGCGCCGTCACATTTATAGGCTTTCGATATATTAGACTATTAATATTACTAATTATTTATAATACTCCCTTCTATAAAAGAGGGTAAGAGGGTCGAAGGTAAGCCTTTACCCCTTTATACTAGTATATTTAGGAAGTAATATAGATTGCCCTACGTATATACGATAAAATTACTAGTTAGCGAGTTAAATATATTAGTTATTAAGGAAGACTATTATCTATTTTTAGTATTTGAATTAAATTAGAATAAGCCTCCTTATCTTTCTCCTAATATATCCTATATTAATTTATTTAATAGGATTCGGTAGATAAATATCTACGCCTTAAGTTAGCAGCTAAAGTAGTGCTTAAAGGCCGCCTGCGTAATAAAAGGGAACCGTTTAGTAAAGACCGTATCTTTATAATACGACCGCTAGCCGAGGGCGCTTTGTAATTATAGTTATAGAGGGTTACGCAGTCCTAAGCTACCTTATGTTAATAATTAACTAGCCTACGCGGGACGTTGAAGAATGCTATACCTATTAGTACTTCTATTCGTTATTACTATTTATAATACGAATTGGGTAATAATATCGAGGCTTTTAATACTATAAATATAATTATATTCTAACGATCCTAGCGGTCTAAGAAGGTGACTAAGAAAGTAACTTAGCTAAACGAGCCTACCTTACCTACCTAGTCCCGCTAACGAGAGCCTACCCTAATTGCTAATTATATTATTATCTTTAATTTTAAGGAGGAAGCTAGTTCTAATTCTAAGTCGGATTTTAGGCTCTCTATCTTATTTAATACTCTATCCCTCCCCTCTTCGAAGTCCTCTTCCCCCTTCTTTGTACAGTAGTCCTCGTTCTCCGTTAAAGAGTAGCTACCTTTTATAATCCTATACGACGACGCTATTTATTTCGATAGGGTAGAGATTGGATATGGCTTTTAAAAGTCAGATTTAGAAGAGTATTTTATTCCTTTCTATAAGAGGGAGCCGTATATATAAATGGCTAGGAATAATAAAACCCTAGAGCTATTTATAAATAAGTAATAGTAAGCCTACTTCGTTAAGGAGGTATAGGAGTAAAAGGAGGCCGCCGCTTATACCCTCCCCCCTCCTCTATATTGGTTCTTAAGGAATTTATTTCGTAAAATAGAGCCCTTGTATAGGGTGGCCTTTGAGAGGGATGGGGAGTAGGTAGAATAGCGTAAAGGTCGTTCTAATTACTTTAAATTATAGCTAAAAGTGAAGTAGGAGATCGGTCTTATTCGTTCTTTAGTATGGCGGCGATAGGGGTAAAAGTAGTGTTAGTATTACGGTTCTTTTACTAATAGGTATTACGAGTGCTCTCGTTATTTATTTAATATTAAAACGGTATAGGATTTTAGGAAGGATAAAAGATGCCATCGTTAGGTATATAACGAGGGGTGGGATTAGGATGATTCTGCGTAGTAGTTTTGGTATGAGGGGGAGGATAATTATGCTGACGACGAGAGTGATTTTAACTTGGTTCTTTTATGGTATGGGAGAAAGGGTGGTAGTAAGAACCCCATCGTGATTAGTGACGATGAGTAGATATTACTAAGTAAATAAATAAGAGATGGATTTGTAGTTAATACTACGAAAATATTACGGCTCTGGCGGTCTTAGTGCACTTGTCGATTTTAGCAGGGATGCTAGAAGACATGAGAAAACACGATTTTACTATACAAAACGATAATATTTACATGTTAGCTGGCATATGGGGTAGGGAGGGTGCGTGTAGTTTTGGGGGTGAGTGTGGGTAGGTTTTCTCTTGTAAAATGCCTGGGAATTTTGACGGAGGGGGGTGTGTGCATTTGGGCGATTGTGGATTTGGCGAGGTGGATTATTGGGGGGTATTATGGTACGAAGGGGTGTCCTGTTTGAGGGGGGAGAGGATGGACGGGTGGGTTTGGGGGTGATGGAGCCATAGAGGAGCTCTCTGATCTGTGGGCGTTAGAGTGGGAGAAGGGAGGGAGTCGAGGGGACAGTGATGAATTCAACAGCGAAGGTCTTGACACAGGAGCGTCGTCTGAGGCGAAGGTTGAGGCCGTGTGTATCAGGCATCTTGACGGTAATGGCTAGGGGGTATCCATGGGCAGCCACTGATGAACATATCTACCAGTTCGTCATGCACTCATCAAGCGAAGACCAAACTTGAACACCATTTTTCACTGATTTCATCCTGCGTACGAGGCCAGCACGCATCGAGCAAGGACCAATTCCGTGAGCAACAAGGTACGTCCTAGCACGCCTTGAGAAGGTTATGATGGATCATCGAAGAGACAAGACAGCCCACAACCGCGTCTACACATCCCATTGGATTTTACTAGATACACAAACCCTTAAATGGGGATGATGGGATCCGCCTCGCTCTTTACCGACCTCTTCACACAGAGTTACTACCTCTATCCAAGAGTACCTCTCGGTTGCCGAAATCCAAAACAATCACAAACATGGAAGCACAACCGCTCATCGCCCGCCCGCTTCGCTTTCGTCGTCGGATCGATCTCTGGCGAGTCTGGGACATAACCTACCCCTTCCTCATCGCCTTCTATGTCACCGCCATCGTTGTTCTTTCCATATCCGGCGTTCGCGCGGCGGCTAAAAGACATGTATCCGACCCAGGTAAGCTTCCTTGTAGTTAAGTTCCATGTCTGTCCAGCACACACACTCCAATGCCCTCCCGGAAGCGCTGTTCATTGGTCGTTGGGCGGCGTGAGCTAACAACACTAACAAAGACCACCCCTCTACATCAACCGCTCCCTCCTCCCAAGACATAATTGTCCACCTGCAAGAAGCCTACCAAGCCCTCCAATGCCACACCCAACAACAAACAGCCACGCTCCTATCCCTGAGCCCTGCCGGCCTCCTCGGTGCAGACCAAGTCTATGCCGGGAACATGATGCTGGGTTTGGGCAAGCTGCTGGTCGGAACCACGGCCTTGGTTACCTGGTGTGGGTTCTTGGTCATTGACAAGCGGAAGCATCCCTTGCATGCGGGGAATCTATTGAACTCGGCTGCAGTCCTGACGCTGGTGTGGCTTGCGTGGGGAGGGCTGGATATGGGGCTTTGGGTTGTTGGTGGGGTTTATGGAGTTCCTGGGTGTTTTGATGCTTGAGGGAGTTGGTGGTTTGGGTGCACGTTGTGGGTGTGTGATCCTGTTGTCGCCTGTCGGGGAATATTCGAGCTGCTCATAGTTTGGTAGAGGTATGTAGCAAATTCGAAACAGAGAGCGTTGTGTTCAAAAAGGCCGGAAAAAAACAGAACTTGGAAGCAGGAGAGGAACCCAGAGCATGAAGCTGAGAATAGTTGATGTAAAAATCTTTGTTGGGCTTCAGGTTTTTGAAGAAGCGAATGGTCGTAAGAATAATCCGAACACATCGATCACGGTCTGTATATCAGACTTTGGGTATACTCATCACGCATCCATGCGTCTTAAATATACCTTTGAACCCAATTTCTAGGCAGTTCCTGGATGAAAAATTCCTGATGGACCCTGACCGATGTGTTTCCAACTTATTGTAATACCCATCACAGTTTTGTAGTGGCCTTTCCCAAGTCCCAACTACAACGAGCGGTGTTGGACTGTCCCTGTTCGGTTTATTCTTGCGATCATTCGCACATCTATGCCGTCATCATCAGGGGCAAGTAAACAAATCGTCTTGCAACTCGGTGCGGATTTGGTGTGTTGCACCTGGTGTACTTATGCACCTATCACATCCCTGTTGTTCAACAATGTTCCAATGGCTGGATGGCCGAGCGGTCTAAGGCGCTAGACTCAAGAACAATGTTTCTTCTGCACTCAGTGCGGTGTATTCTAGTATCGCAAGATGCGTGGGTTCGAATCCCACTCCAGTCACTTAATTTTTTGCTTTATTTTTCTCCTTTTTGCCCTTATGTTCGTACTCTCCAGCGACGGGATGCTTCAGCTTTTTCTTACATGGCCTGCGGGGGCATCATGGTTGAGCGTGTGTTTGGGGCATGAAGGTTGATTTGATGTGAGGAGAATTACGGGATCGCATCACGAATTCCGATGGGTAGGTATTACCACCGGACTTGTTTGCAACCGAGCAACGGTGTGCAACTTTGAGTGAGCCGAGACGGATGAACTTCATTCAATAGCCCGTCCATTTCATTTCAAGTTTCGTGCTAGCTCTATCCTGAGGTTGTTCTCTTTTCGTACCGTTGAGCAGTGAACGCCTGAACGGCGTGTTTAGGGGGGATCGCGGAATTGAAGTGAGACGGAATGTTAGTTCGGACGATATGACATCTGTTTTTTTACTAACTCGGACAGGCCCCTGAGCCCCTGAGCCACAGGGCAGCGGAAATGGTCTTAGCTCTAGCACTAACAAATTTTTGGGCAAGCTCACCAGCCGCCCAGCTCCACAGAACATTCTCGTCTGGGTCGATGGAGGTGCGAATGCCCTCTCTTTTCGCTTCTCACCGGATCTTTTTGCCTATAAACCCCTTACGTCGCAGAAATTTCTGCGAGAACAAAGACTTCCACTTTCGCCAATTCTTCCAACACAAGTTGGGCCAAAGGCGCGTTCTTCAGCCTTGCTCCAGCTGTTTGAGCCACGTCTTTTGCGTCCAGAAACAAAAAGCGGCTGGACGTTGTTTTACGGCTTGCACTTCCAACCGGGCCCTGTGCGCGTTCTTTTGTTTCAACACGAAGCACGGTGTTCTAGACACGCTTGTATAGCTTTATGCTATCAGACCGTAGGTATATCATTCTCGTATGTTCAACCGGATTTGTTTGGGCCTTTCAACGCTTTTATCCCATGCGGTCTGGCTTTCATTCCATCCGAAGAGCGATTTAAGCTCCGAAGATTCTGTGGATCAACCTCGGCGAGCAGTGTTCATCATTGCCCGGCATCCAAGGGGACTGATCTATGTTAACAAGGTGGCGGAAATGCATGTATCTACATGATACAACAATAGTAGCTTTGATCAAGCGGTAGCAGGCTAATTCCCGTCGTGTTTGGGCGCCGGTGGTGGTAACTGAGGCGGAGGTGCCTGTGACGGCAAGTTGCGATAGTAACCGGATATGTGGTGCGGATGAGGGGGATAATTGTCCCAGCCGTTTCGCTGCTTCAAAAAGTTGTCCACTCTTGCCTCTCGGCCCAGACCGGCCGTTTCACCGTACCGTTGTCGCATCTCTTTGTTGATGGCGGCGTGCGTCTGCTCGTGAGCGTCCAGAAGAGCGACGCCGCTCTGTACACCATGTGTAGCGTGTTGCCAGCTGCCGATAACAACGAAGAAGGAAACGATGACGACGAATGCGCCGTTGGATACGAAGATGGGCTTTTGCTGCTGACCAGTACCTCCCGACTCTTGCTCATTACGCCATTGTTCCCAATCCTCCCATGTAGCGTTCATGCTCGCATTACCGGGGCGGCGGTGCCAGGCATTGTGATTCGAGGGGACGTCGTCGTAGCGCAGATCCGGATGGTTGCTCCAACCAAGATCGTAGAGATCGTACATGCGGCGCTTTTGCGTATTGCTTAGAATATCGTTGGCGGCGACGACGAGACGGTAGCGCTCAAGCTTGGTTGGATGAGGGATGTCGCGAAGCCCCGGGTGGGGGTGCCGGTCCGGGTGGTAAAGCTTCACCAGCTCATGGAATCGCCTCTTGTTATACGGATCGTTCTTGCTTTGCCCAAATATATCGTAGGGTGTAGGGTTTTTGGACGCGGGCCAATGCAATGCGGGGTGATCTTTCGGCAGCTCAGCGTCTGCTGCGCCGTGATGAACCGAAGCGAAACGGCGGGTTTGGAAAGCTCCCCGGGCAGTCGGAGCGATCGGACGAAGGTCAAAGAAGACGGGATCGACGGCTAGAGGACCACATAGCCGACTTGATGAGGTTGTTGCTGCCCGGACTAGCGTGAGCGAGCCATGGGTCGCGAGGGCGGCATTGCCGGGGCAGAGGATGGCGGCAGATTTCCAAGAAAACATGATGACGGCTTCAAGTAGTCATGTTGCAGTTCACTGAGGCTGATAGAGAACCATGGCTCCGGGCGCGATAATCCAGCGTGCCGAAAGTCGAGTAGGAGTGGAAGCCGGGAGGAGATGGTCGATGGGGATGGTGTACGGTGTTTGGTGGAGGGTGGGAAATGGATGATGTAAGTAGGTTCATGCTGGGAGCTCACCTCAGACATTGCCTGCCTGCGGCACCTTTGAGTGTGGGGCAACTCCCAACTACCTGTAGGTACCGTATGTACACCACCGAGGACGGCAGTGAAGTGACGGGCATGATGCACACACTCACCGATGTGGCCGATTTGAATCATATTTAACTGTTTTCCCCAGTGTCAGAGTTCAAAACATTTTGTTAAACTCTTCATCATTGAAATCCGAGGCTCTCTACGTACCAAAGATGGATGTGGATGTCGCCGATATCCCACCAGTGGATGACGTCGGTACAATGTACCGGGCAACCACCAGAACTACACTACCCACAACCTACAGGAAGGCACAGCGCTCATAAACCGAACTGCCCCTGAGTGGAACTGGAAGGCGATGCCGCGGCCGAGTTGTGGCCTGTGTGAGGAGGACGGGACATGGAAAGGTCGGTCCCGTTCGTGGTGGACACGATGGTGATTGTGCGGTACACAACTGGAAGGCGCAGGGTTCGGCAGGGAACATCAAGGGAACACGTGATCAGAGACCCTTCTGCACAGTTTTGACGAGACGCTCCGGCTCCTTCGTCCACTCCCAGAGTCCCAGCACTGAATCACGACTTCCGCACCGCCTCGCCTCGTCCAAGCTTCGGAAGTTTCCCTCAAACTCTCTGCCTTTCTGCCCCGCTTTCAGACGACCACCACAACAACAAACCATCACAACAGAAACACTTTAAGCTGCAAAGCACCATCTCGTCCCACTCTCCCGACGGCATCGCACACGTCTCTTTGATTCGCCCTCCATTTTTCACAGGCCAATCAAGACCCAGCCGTCGACACCGAATCGGATTCCTCGCAGCCTCTCCCACAAAAGACGTCGCTCGACTTCGAGGCATAGAAAAAAAATCAACGATTGAGAACGTCCTTGGTGCTCCCACACGAAACGAGCCTCCTCGCGACCTCATCTCCATCTACCACCGTATCACCTTTGCCCCACGACCGCTCGCGATAGGCCTTTGCCTCGCCTAGTTACGCCTATCTGGCCCTGCTCACCGTCAACACACCGAAATACAAAGGAGAAAGAGGGGATTCCCGCCCACAACTAGTGCTCCTCTCCCCTTGCCAGCCACCTGCCCATTTCGCTACACATCCCCGGAGACGAAGCCATCGTGCTATACGCTCTCCTTTTTGCAACATCTGAGCCTCCACCACAGGTTCCACAACCGAACAACGACCATCTGGCAAAATGTCCGACCAACTAGCGGATCAGTTGAAAGCTACTAGTCTGAGGTAGGTTGACCGCCTTCCCTTCTGTCCCAAACCCAGCTGACATGGTTGTGATAGCTCAGGCCCGGAAGACTGGAAAAAGAGTCTTAATCTACCTGCCAGAGACACAAGACAACAGACCGAGGATGTTACAAACACGAGGGGTCTGGATTGGGAAGACTTCATACACGACAGGGATCTCTTGATGGGTATCTTCGAGGCTGGCTTCGAGAAACCGTCCCCAATTCAGGAAGAAGCGATTCCTGTCGCCCTCACCGGCCGAGACATCCTCGCACGCGCAAAGAACGGCACCGGCAAGACTGCCGCTTTCGTCATCCCCGCCCTCTCCAAGATCAACCCCAAGGTCTCCAAGATCCAATGTCTTATCCTCGTTCCCACCCGTGAGCTTGCCATGCAGACATCCCAAGTCTGCAAGACGCTCGGCAAGCATCTCGGCATCAACGTCATGGTGACAACCGGCGGAACTGGTTTGCGGGACGACATTGTGCGTCTGCAGGACCCCGTACACATCGTCGTCGGAACACCAGGCCGTATCCTCGATTTAGCTGGCAAGCAGGTGGCCGATCTCAGCGAGTGCCCAATGTTCATCATGGACGAGGCTGATAAGCTCCTGTCGCAAGAGTTCACCCCCGTCATTGAGCAGCTCCTGCAGTTCCACCCCAAGGATCGTCAGGTCATGTTGTTCTCCGCCACCTTCCCTCTTTCGGTCAAGGATTTCTCGGACAAGAACATGACTAGTCCGTATGAGATCAACCTCATGGACGAGCTTACCCTACGCGGTATCACTCAATACTATGCGTTTGTTGAGGAGAAGCAAAAGGTTCACTGCCTGAACACTCTGTTTTCCAAGCTTCAGATCAACCAGTCCATCATCTTCTGCAACTCTACCAACCGCGTTGAACTTCTCGCCAAGAAGATCACCGAGCTCGGATACTCGTGCTTCTACAGTCACGCCAAAATGGCTCAGCAGGCGAGAAATCGTGTCTTCCACGATTTCCGCAACGGTGTCTGCCGTAACTTGGTCTGCTCGGATCTCCTCACCCGTGGTATTGACATTCAGGCAGTGAACGTCGTCATCAACTTCGATTTCCCCAAGAACGCCGAGACGTACCTTCACCGCATTGGTCGCTCTGGTCGTTATGGTCACCTTGGTCTTGCTATTAACCTGATCAACTGGGATGACAGGTTCAACCTTTATAACATTGAGCGTGACCTTGGTACTGAGATCCAGCCCATTCCTCAGACCATTGACAAGAGCCTCTATGTGTACGAGAACCCCGAGTCTATCCCCCGGCCCATCTCGACCTTCAAGCCTGTTACCCAACAGCCGCATCAGCAACAGCAACTGCAGCAGTCGCAACGGCCTCAACAGACCCAACAGCAACAGCATTTTCCAACACAGACACAGTTGTCGAACCAGCTCCCGCCTCAACAAGGCAACCAACAACTTGGCTTCAATCCCCAAGCTCAACAGCCTCATAGACCTAGCCCCCAGGCCCAGGGTGATTGGCAAGGGCAAAACGGTCACCAAAATGGCGCAGGTCCTTCCAACAACCAACCCAGACCCACCAACTACCAGAACAACCGCGGGCAGCCCGGTGGCCGCGGAGGTCGTGGACGTGGTTTCCAGGGCCAGGGAGGCCGTCAGAACCAGAACTACGGTGGTCAGCGCGGTCCTCGTACCCAAGGTCAGGGTCAGCCTCAGGGTCCACCGCCTGCCCAGTAGGGTAAACTCTCCCAACATTTTATGGAAGGAGGGGAATATGTGGTAATGTGAGGAGGCGTGCGACCATGCATCGCTTCCACGTTATTTTGTCTTTGGATTGTACATATTAGTCGTTTCTCTCGGCCATCTCTTTCTCTTTCCCTCGAACTGTGAATGGGCTACCATGACGACAAGCGTTGTCCCTCGGCCTGTCAGGTTTGCGTTTACGCTACGGCAGACTCGTATATCACACCCTTTACTGCCGACCCTGCAAACAGTTCAACGACATCCACACGGAACTGTACTACGACACAATCTCTCTTGGAGTTTGCCCTATTTCACGGATTTTTCGATACGGTCCAGCTTAATCCTGTTCGCATTCACGGCTTACAACGTTTCGGCATGGGCGCGGAGTCTTGAGCGGTGTGGGGTTTATACGTCTTTGTTGGCTTTACGGCGGAAGCGGCTTTATACTCCACGAGGCGCTGCGAGATTTTTTTCCTCCATTGAAACGCCTCTCATCCCTTATACCCAACACAGTTCCTCGTTCCTCGAATCTCCAGCCGATTTCACCTTTCGACACATGAGCAAATCAATTCTTTATTTTGGCTCTCACATTTTCATCATTTGATGATCGCACGACTCAACAACATCGGCTCTACAGGCGGATCAGGCTCTATGGATTACAAAAAGGCGCGCACGCAAAACTTATACACGACGGATGGACGGGCTTTTTGTCATGGCTGGCGGTTTCACAGATATTTCGTGTTTACGGAGGAGGGATCGGCTTCTGTTTCGTTTTGTTATGGTGGGCTCACATAAACGGCGTCATGGGTTTGGCTTTTGGGCGGCGCGTGGCGTGATGGTCAGCCAGGGACAGCTGGCTACAGCTGATCATGGTTTGGAACGGATACCATTTTTAGGTTGCGCCTCGCTGGTTTTGTCTTTTTCTCTTTTTTATTCTTCGGACGACTTGGGGTATGGATCTCGAGAGGGAGTTGCAGCGTGCTGGATTCATGGTGGCGGAAGGAGATATGGACATCTAGATAGCTCGTCGACATCTTACAGGACGGGTGGTTGTCTGCATTGGGAGGAGACGGGTGGCAGGAACGGCCGGAACGCGACTTGGTCCTCACTTGAGCAAGAATTGGTGGTGACGTCGTAGGATGGTCACGCACTGGTTCTTTGCAGATGGAGGAAGCGAACTGGGAAGGAATGGCACAGCGAATGGAAGGATTGGAGGATATCTGGTGAGTTGGAGGACGAGACATACCTTTATCTCGACAGTTGATATTGAGGGGAGCGGGGATGAGTGGATGTTCAGTTGTGGCTGGGAAAGCTGTGTTTGGTGTTCCTTCGGGAGGCTACATTCAGCGCCATCCACATAGCTGGTTGTCCAGCGAACCTTTGTGGTAATGCAGCCATGACACTGCTGCACGACCCAAGATACTTGCCGCAACGCCAAGGATTGTCAGCCATTGCTCATCCACCGCTTTTGCCCTTGTCCGGCTTGTGGTGTTTGTGGACGGCTGGCATCCGTCATTGTGGGAAGGAGGCATATCGGGAACTCATGAATCCGTATGCCATGACAACGACCATCACCCCTGGAGCCTTGGTCCGAACCAGCAGTCTTTGGCTCAGGCACGCGTGCAAGAGAGCCACTGCTATACGGGGCATCGAGAGGCCGGATGAGAAAAAGAGACGAAAACCATGATAAAACAACAGGAAAGAAAGAAAAGAAGCGGGAGACAGCCATCAGATGGACACGATTTGACGATGACGGAGATGCGACCTGGGGAGCATGGACCGTGACGAATGGTGGACCTCTGGACAAGGTAGATAGCATTTGGTGTTCACATGAATGTTATCTTTTGTCTCTCATAACAATTCTCGCGATTCTTGTTCTGTTTTGTCGTTGTGATTTTGAGTTGATGCTTCAGGTTTCAGCGAGAACAAAAGATGATGCGCGAAATCGTGAAGCCGAGATTGAGGAACAGCACCGGAGACCCCGCTGGCCGATGGGACGAAAAAAAAAAACGGAAAAAAAGTAAGTAAATTGATCCGACCCAGGCTCGATCTGGGGACCTTCAGTGTGTTAGACTGACGTGATAACCAACTACACCATCGGACCGTTTTTTGTTGAATGGCGCTCCAAAGCATCATCTCAAGTACGTGACTGCCACAACTTTAATCTTGAGAATACCCCCCATCGACAACCGGAAGGAACTGAGGTCGGCAAGAAAAGTGGTTATGATGCACATACGGAAGGAGCTCTCCCTTCATGCCTGCCTCGGCCATTTTCCGTTCACTTTTCTGACATTGAATGTATGTGAAAACTCATCTTTCCAAACTGCAATTCAATTCTACTTCCATTCCCCTTCCGCGACTGGTTTGTGGACTATTACAGATTTTTGCACGATCCTGCGCAAGCAGCGCCCTACCGTTAAACACTTCATCATTAGACACCAGGATGTCCCGATATGCATCCTCGCAATTCCGGCGGTCCGGTCCTCCTCCCTGCTCTTAGGTTTAATGCATTATGCAATATGCACCCTGCCCCCCGAGAGGCACCCTTTCAGTCGATAGTCTCACTCTCCAAATAACAAACCCATCAATACCAGGACACAAACTCGCCAGTTTGCCCCAAGAACCACCATATCCGCACTGACCATGACGCATACAAAGACGAGCCATGCTTCCTCCACGAGAATGCAGGGGTCTCATCGCCGTCATATGCTCGGCTCTATGGCGCAAAAGAAGGCCGCCCGTTGGCCAGTCTGCCATTTTCTCATCAAGAAAGGATGCCGTGGGCTTGCATCCTCCACCCCCACAAGAGGAACAAAGTGTTCATCCATTGCACTCGGCACCATCTCATAGCGGCAGGGGGCGGCGGGGGGTTGGCCAGATGCGATGGGTAGGCATGGCAAACAAAGAACGACAGCCTCCAGTACGTGAACACTTGGCTTGGCCCGCAACGCCACCTGCCGGATTCCCATTCTCGCAAAGACCTTCCAGAACCACACGCATCTAGTGAAGCCCTCGGGATCGGGCATTCCACTTGGTCTCTTGTCCATTGAGGTCTAGACTTAGGCGCCGTTCAGCTGTCAATAATCTGACGAGTTCTCCAAGCTGCCGGGTGTGAACACATGGACCCCCAGCACTCCCGCCTCACCTCTTCCAGCTTCACAAGTTCTGTCAACAGACTGTATACTTCTTTGTCCGCCCTTCCCAGCCAAGCCACGTCTTTGTCCCTAAATTTGCTCTGGCCACGAGATCGAGTCCAGGCAACCAATTCTCCATCTTTCTCCCCAAAAAAGAACTGTCCCCAGTACATACGTTGCCCAGTTGACAAGTTGATCTTCGTCAATAGATTTTCGGCAGCAAGCGAACGCTCCACGACCCAATTGCCGGTCCGCAGTTCATGAGACATTTTCAAGAGAAGAATCCAAATTTCATTCATCCGATAAACCACCTAAGGCCACCAAGGAACTCGGCGATATCCCAAGCAGGGTAGAAGATCAGCCGGCTCCAAGTCTGCCACGCAGAGGTAAAATACCAGTCTACTATCATCCAGGTGCTCGGCTCGTTACCAGAGGATGGAGGCACCTCCGCCTGCTGGCTGGCGTCCGGCGGCCAGCGCTGCTGGGCCTGTCGACTATATCCTTGCCGGCATATCGACAACATTGGGAACCATTACACGGTTTATACGATCCGTTCGAAACGCGCATGCGGACCTTTCTTCATTTACCCGAGAGCTTTCTGACATGCGCCTCTTACTCGAGCTGCTGCGTGACGAACACAGTATTCCTCTCTTGTTGCAAGCGCAGGTACTGTCGCTTCTGGAGGATTGCGGTAATGTGCTCAGTCGGATAGAGGACATTCTGATGCAGTGTCATGGCGCGGATGAATGGGTCTCTTCAGGAAGGGCAAATATGGCGGAGCTTCGAGGGGATATTGAGACGTATCGGCGTGCGCTGGGACTTGTCCTTGATGTTGTGAATTACCATCAGTAAGTTTTGCCTAATCGCGTTCCTTGAACTCTTCTTCACCCAAAATCCTCTTGAAACTGACGTTTTCTGTAAGTTCACCATTCAATTCCGACACCAGCAACTTAGACACCTCCAAATCCCAAATAACGACCGAAGTAGACCGGTTGCGCAGTCATACTGCGTTGACAGGCCTCGACAATAGGAACACTTGGCTGGAACCATACATGAATGCCGTGATCAATTGCTTGGAGATCACTGGTGCCGATTCCCCTGTGATCAAAGGCGATGGCCCTCCCAAAGACCTGTAAGTCACATGAGACCTTTGCAATGTCATGAGAAGGCCCGCTAACAGAACCGAGAAACAGTGATTCAACGTCCACACCCGATGTCGATGCCGTACAGAACGGTGTTAGATCTTTAAATCTCGAGTCACAGCAACCGGCAACACCCCCTAGCGCCCCAACACAGCAAGAAGTAAAACAGTCATCGCCAAAGTACGTCATAAACAGCGTCTACGAAACAGCGGGGCCATGGTACCCCCCAGCCGGAGCCATAGCACTTCCCTTCTATAACGGCGGAGAGAACCCTGCATCAGTTGCTTCAAGTCCGAGGAGAGAACCCCAGCAAGTGTCCCCACGACTTCGGAATTCGCCTCTGGATCCCTCGAGACATGCCCCAACACCGGAGTCTCCTACATCCATACAATTCTCACAAAGGGCACAGTCACCCCCTTCTAGCCAACAAAGCTGGGACCGAGGTTCTCCATCCGCGAGATCCGAACCTTTCGAAGCAAGTTATGTACCACACCAGGACCTACGAGCTGACCGATGGTCCGAACCTCAGCCAATTCAGAATCCCGAACAGTATGGGTTTAAATCCACACCACAATCGCCACATCAAATGCTACGCGCTGCAACAGCTGGCTCTGTTGGAGCCTCCATATCGCCTGGTGAAAGCTCGCGAGGTTATTTCCCCAACCCCCAATCATCCGGGTCGTTGGGGTCAGGGACCTACCGCCTTGGTTACGATAGTGGGATCTTTTCGTCTACGACCGCGCCGTCTATAGCTACAATGTCGACTAGCACATTGTCAGCAAGTACCTTATCCCCGGCTACTATACACGATTCTCGCTGGTCACCACCGTCCCAGTCCCAAAGCCAACAATGGCCAGCAAACACCACTCCTCTCAGTCCTACCCCTCAATGGTCTCACATCAAGTCAGCGGGTCACGTAACCGCATACAAAAGCAGCACAGTAACTGTGCAATCACACCGAGCCGAGCTTGTGCCTGTACGACACCTTACCGACAAGGGCAAAGGCTCCGACGTCTTCCATATCGACTGTTCACCAACCGCCTCTTATTTGGCAACCAAGCATTCCAATAACACAGTTAAGATATGGGCGATTGCGAAGAACACAGTCCATAGCACTATCAAGATCAAATCGTACGTGCCGGCGCAGCCCCGTTCAAGAGAGTACTTTGTCCGGAGCCATTCAATTCTATCCGAAGGTCCCACGTCCCCTTGCTTTATAGGAATCACTACGCATTTCGGGTTGGATCTCGAGATCTACAACTTCACCAAGGGAGGATCCGGAAAGAAGGTCCAGGTTATTGACGAAGCGCACCGTTGGGCCGCCAGCCACAAACTCGACAACAGTTACGCCCCCCTTGTGATATACCGGCCCGGGGCTGACCGGATCGATCGGTACTTCCTATCACGCAACCCGGGTGCTAAGAAGCCCTTCTGGGAAGACGCAAGCAGCTGCATTGATCTGACAAAGGCCGATCTTCCCTTCCTTCCCAAGTGGCCGGAGCTAGCCTTCTCCAACGACTCACCCTTCCTAATAGCTGCCGCAGGCCCCAGACCTGGCGATCCGCCCAGAGATATCAACTCAAACATCCTCCTCGTGGCCTGGCATCTTACTCCAGTCCAAGAAGCCAAACTCCAAGCGCGAAGTCCCGTTAACAGCGTCCATTCACACATCCAAGAGTCCGGCGATCCAAAACGACACAAACCCTACCGTTTCTGCGCGCCCGCTTACACGCAACTACAGACCGCCCTGCCCTCCGTCCTCGTCTCCCACGGCAGCGTGACCGTCTCCATCTGGATTCCCGCCAGCCACGTCAACATCCCGCTCCCCGGCGGCAAGTTCAGACAAACACGAGTCCCAACGCCCGAGCGCTTCGTCCTGGTGTGGGACATGCCCACCAACACGACCAGACTGATCCCCATCCCCAACGTGCAGGCGTGCGTGTCGCCAGACTGTCGGCTCGTGGCGTACTGCGATCCCGAGATACAGAAGTTTGTCATCCTCGATGTGACGACGGCGGAGATGGTGTGGAAGTGGCCGGATGCGGCGGCGGTGAGCGGGTTTGCGAGCTTTGGACAGTTTGAGGCGATCAAGAAAATCACGGTGTTTGAGTTTAGTCCGGATGGAAAGTGGTTGATCGTGGGCGATGCGAGTGGTGCGTTGGGCGTGTATGAGGTGAGGGAGGCGGGGACGAGGTTTGAGTTGTTGGATCAGAGCTCGTTAAAGGGAGTTTCGGAGCTTGGAGGAGGGAATAGTCTTCCAAGGGGAAATGTTGCGGAGCTGATGTAGGAAATTGTAGGTGGTGGGAAGTCTGGTAACGGTGGCACATCTGTTTTAGCATGTTTGCATGTAGTTTGCGGGCTTGGATATATCATGATTGAGGAGAGGAGGCAGACACAAGGGGGGGACCTACATATGTTATTGGAAATACCATGGCATGATTTTTCTGGGCTTCAAATGTAATACAGTTGTAAACTTCGAGCCGAAAGGAGGATTTCGTTGTTCATTGCGAACACAACATTGCCGGTGTTCCTGCACTTTCACCATGTCAACCGAAGGAATTGTCCGCGATAAATTATTTACAAACTGAAAGACAAAAAAAAAATCACGACGAGAAGAGGAAGAAGCCATGCAAACTCGAAAATAGAATACTACTTGCTACAAGTAGCAAAAAAGTGCAAAAATTTTGGGACCTGGGAGGCTCGAACTCCCGACCTCAGGATTACTCCAATATTTACACCGGATCATAGTTAGATATGAGACCTGCGCGCTAGCCAACTGCGCCAAGGTCCCTAGCGACCTGTTGTAGGCTGTTGATGGAAAAACGCTCCGGATGCAATCCTTAAGTAGCAAGGTGGTATAATGAGGCAGGGGAAGAGCTGAGATGTGACACAATAACGTGAATGTTTGGATGGACACTCGGCGTTTTTTTACAGCAATTGTTTTGTTTTCAGTTGATATAGAATCTGACCTGAATTTTTAATGGCAGGAGATTTAATGTTCCTTTGTTTTGGATCGTGCAATTTCAGAAATTGGCGTCTTCCTTCGCATCAGAATCGCAACTGTGGGTGTAAATTGTAATGATGCACATCGATTTTCGTCTCAAGTGACAGTCCCCCGAAACGATCCTTCCCTCCAATCCATTTGGCAAGGAGTTGCCTCGCCTGCACTTACCTGGCAAAATTTTGTTCTTAGTAACTTCCAAGTTTTCTGGATTTCTGAGTGTCGCGACAGGGAAGGCGTCATGCGTCTTTGCGGATGGGGAGCCCGTTAGGTAGTTGTATGAAGGGGCGTTTCCGACCATGACCTTGAGTGGAGGGGATAAGGTAGAAGTATAAAAGCTTGTGGTTAAACGGGATTTACAGACCGCATCTTGAGGGACTGCCCTTTGCCGTTTGCACAATGACTGCACAACCTTCCCTTTTTCATCTCATCCAAAGCGAGGGGTGGGGTTCTTCCGCAGGATTCTCAGTTAAGCTTCAGATCTCTACTCAGTTCCAGGTCGAGCTGGTCCCAAGCTGGGTCTTGTGCAGACAAGCAATGGTGCCAGGACACTGCCCTCCCTTCACCCGTCTTCCGCCCCATTCACTCCCGCTCTCCGCTAAACAAACCACCCAGCTCTTGTTCATCCCCACGAGCAAATCCCCGCAAGATCACTCGCCGACTTCCGTTCTCCCCAATACAACCACTTCCAGCACATCTCGGCAACAGGGAACCAACAACGACGCCCCATCCTCTCATCATGCCTCCCAAAAAGAAGAAACCTCAGGTGGTGCCGATGCCGCTTTTCAGCAGGCTTCCCGCGGAGATACAAATCATGATCTTCCACGAGGCGCTTCGGAAGCCACAGATTCACTTTGTGAAAGTGACGCGCGATCAAAGTCCTAGATTTATGGATAATGACCGGTTTTGGTCTGTGATCCTAAAACCCAGGGACAAGAGTGCCGATACTTCCGGTTATCGCCTGTTTGACAACATACAGGATATTGCACTCTTTTCCCCCATCGCGGCTGAAGTGATCCGCAAAAACACCCTAAAGGTGCACCGTCTGCCAATTTCGAAGGATGGCTCGTGGATGATTGACGCCGCCACGGATCTCGTGGTTCTCGAATTTGATCCCGACAAATCAGGTAGTAGGGTGCGGTTATGGCACCCACGAAACCGAGTCTACAATTCTACCCTGGACGTCACAGCGATCCGTCAACAGCTTGAGGGGATCCGAAAAGTCGCTGTGGTATACGGCGGGAACCAACAACCGGACGCTGGATCGAGCGAGAGTCTATTCAAATGTTTGTACCATCACCAGCGGAAACATACGAGTCGGAATTTCTGTCCGGAGGAGCTGCTGGGGTTGATTTACCAGCTATCTCACATCGAAGCGGTCTATTTCATTCTCAAACACAGGGTAAATGTCAAGGCCGTGATAGACTATGCGGCCAGCTACTTTTCCGGTAAGTCGCGCTCCTCTGGATCCCACCCTTTATTCCCACCGCCCCCCCATTTTCTCCTCACATTGCTCTTTACTCTCCAATCGTTCACCATACCTCCCCTAACTGACTGCCACCACAGTCCCGTCCGCTACACGCAACACATTCGGCTTCAAAACCTTCTACTCCACAACCAGGAGCTACATCACTGTCCCCCTTCCTTCCTACGAGATAGGACCGGTATTCCACGCGACCTGGAAGGCGAAGGATTGCATCTGGCCGGAGGACTCACCACCAGCACTCGTTAGCGCAGCCCGCGAGGCGACTATGGCCCTTCCCCCGGACTCCAGAGAGAGACAATACGTGAAGCATATGCGCAAATTGTCGTACCTAGGTCGCGCACTAGACCATCGTGAAGAGGTCTGGCCCTTGGTTGCGGAAATGATCCGGCAAATGCGGGCTGATCAAGATACTCACTTCTCGCCGGACTGGCCGCATCCAATCCCACCTCAAGCCAACACGGCCCGGTTCAGGGCTTACAGAGAACATCACAGGCTGCAATACAACCTTGACAATCTCACCAAGGAGAGGCGAGATAATCTGGAGTTTGGCATGTTGCTTATGGTGGATGAGACGGCTGGCTGTCAGAATGGGAAAGACAAGGACGTCAAATGTAAGGCTGGTGGCGTAAATAAGAAGACGAAGGATGGAAAATCGGTTGCCTAAAGTTGTTGGACTGAAGGAGGACAAGGAGCGGATGGGGAATGAGCAAGCGCTTCACTGGTTTTGTTCGTCCAAGGGCAATGGTTGCAAACGCTCTATTACCACCATAGCACATTTCCTGCAACATAGTTCCGGGTTCGATGAAGGTTGAACTCTTGGTTTCCGAAGGCACAGCAGATATAGTTTACATCAGATTGCTACTGTGGGTATATCCGCATGGAAAGATGGGTCGGCCGAAGACATAGGGTCCAAGTGTCGCCAGAAAGAGTAAAGAGGTAGAGGTAGACAGCAATGCGTCAACTTCTATGTAAATACTGGCCTCACATGTTCCTACTTGTATGTAAAGATGATATGCCATGGACAGTAACCCAGAATACTAGCGCCTAACGCCTAACGTCTAACAATGAGGCCCACAACGAACGCCATATATGCCCTGGAACACCATCTCACCAGACACCAGACATGACCAACCTCAATATCTCAAGCGTCAGGATCTGTCTCCTCCTCCGGACCGAAACCACCGGTCCTCCTCCTTCTCTTCCTCATCATCCTTTCCCTCACCCTCATAATCCGGCGCTCCATATCCTCAAGCCCATCATCGTAACTACCGTTATCACTACTACCACCACCAGCACCTGAGTTCCCACTTCCCAAATCACAACTTTCACCATCTCCACCTTCCCGCTCCTGCATGTCCTCGTAAACCTGGTCCTCCTCATCAGCATCATCGTCCTCCTCCCTCCCCCTCTTCCTCTTCCTCGACAACCGCGCCGTTGACAGCCCCTCCTCTACTTCCACCCCCACCCCAGAATCCAACCCTTCCTCAATAACCTCCTCAAAAGCACCCCTAACCCCCTCCACAATCCCCTCCCCCAACCTCCTCATCCTCCCCCTCCACATCTCATCCCTCCTCCTCACCATACCCTGTACGTCATTAACAACCTCCATCAACTCCCTCTTCTCCCTTTGAAGGAGTAACGTCTCACCACGCAGATGCTCGCTTTCCAACTGGAGTTTCTTGACCATTTGCAAAGCTACGCGTAAAGAGCGTTGGGTGCGGTCGAGGGAGGCTTGAAGGGTGGTGTTTTGGGTGGTGAGTGTTTGGAGTTGGGTTTGCTGCTCTGTTGACGGTGAGGAGGGGGATTGCTGGTGGTGCTGTTGGGGGCGGGTTGATGATGAAGCAGAACCTGAGGCACGGGTTGGTGTATCCTCTAGCCCTTCGTTTAGGTTGTGAGCATGAATGGTAGTAGCATTAGACGTACGCCTCGAACTCAAGGCAGACCCTCCATGTCGGGAGTTGGAGCACGGTGTTATGGGTAGTTCCGTACCATGGCCGGTGACGGGCATCATGGTCATAGCCATACCCATAGGGCTGGTGGTTGGCGGGCTGGGGAAGGGTTTTGTTCCCACTCTGGCTGCTGCTGCTGCTGCTGCTGTTGTTCCCGCTGCCGTTGCTGTTGCTGTTGTCGTTGGAAGTGGACGACGATGACGTGCCCGACTGCCCGAGGGAGGTGGTGTGCTGCAATCCAGCTGGGCACGGATGGCTTCACCGAATTGCGATGTTGTTAAGCTCAGAGCCTCCGTCTCCGAGCCTGAGCCGGGGTCATAGTGGTGCCGGTGCGGGTGATCCAATGTCATGCCCATGCCCATGTGCTGCCTATCATCCCCATCATCTCCTCCCAGATCTTCACCACGCCTCACCGACAATGCGGTGTGAAAAGTTGGGTTACTAGGTGTTTCTGGCGAACGTAGTTGTTGAACAACAGCAGCCTGCCCCACCGCCCTCCCCCTCTCCAACTCCCACACCCTCCCAGCGTCAACCTCCAGTGGCAACTCCAACTCCACAGTATCGTCATTCTGAAACCTCTCAATCGTCTCGTTCTTCTCCTTCAACTCAGCCCTAAGCCTTTCAATCTCCTCCTGCGCTTCCTGGGCTTCCTTCTCCCTCTTGCGCCGTTCGGTGTAGACGCGGTTCATCTTCTCCTCGCTTAGAGCGCTGCTCAGAGAAGCGTTGCGGCGGATCTGGATGCTGCGGCGCTTGTGGCTCTGGCGGAGGGGAAGAAGGTGTGCAGAGGTAGCTTCGGCGCCAAAAAGGTCTGGGTTGGAGGTGGTGTTGCCGGGTTGTGTTGTTGATGTTAATCTTGTGGGAGCAGACCGTCGACGTGATGGTGTGACTGCTGCTGTATTGTGACTCTTATATAGACACTTTGGCGCTGGTGACGGGGGTTGCAAAGATGTGCGCCGGACCATAGGCGTCAGGCCAGTTGATAGTGAGAGTTCGTCGTCTTCCACCAGTTGCATGCCAGTGCCGCCTGTTGAGAAGTGTATTTTGTTGCCCCTCCGGACGGTCTTGGTCTTCGTTATCTTATTCTTCAACAAGTTCTGCCGTGGTGTCGTCGGGGGAGTAGGCGGTGATAGCTCTCGTGTGCATGAGACTGCCGGATTCTTGTTCCTGATCGCACTTCTCACATCTACGCCGGAAGTAGGACTCCGGCGCACAGTTCCAGTCCCAGTTCGACGCGTGCGTCTCAGCGCTATGGGGAGGTTCAAATCATCGAGGTCGAGGTGCGTCATGTTTTGTATGTCCGTCGAGTGTGATCGATGAAGTAGAAATTCGATGGATAAACAATGCAAACGGACAGTATAGAAAAAAAGCAATGTTACCAGCCAGGTGGCAGCGAGGCAGAGAGCGAGTCAAATCGATTCACAAGAAAGTGACAAAGTGACAAGGTTCCCGACATGCAGGTGGAAACAGAACATGGAGGACTCGGGACTTCTTAAAGATTTCACGGCAGACGGGGATCGAATATGCCGTCAACCTCGCATCAACCGCGTTTGCAATTGACATTTTCGGTGCAAAGTGTTCGTTCGTTGTTTGTTTGTTTTCCAGTTGGGAATGTGGGGTCAAAACAATCCAACGAACGAGAACGCGCGACCCCCCCTGGAGCTTCACAGTTCACGCAGACCTTCGGCATGGTATGTCTCATGTGAATGGAGGGCCCTCGACGCTAGCATCTTTGTTGTGTGCTTGAGTGTTTTGATGTTTTGAGGGGATTGGAGCTGATGGCTATGTCATTCCAGTCAGCAGTTATTTGTTTTTAGAGTTTACACTTAGACAGAATCAGACCGTGATGTGTTATTTAGACCATCAGAGAAGAATCACCCAGATAACCAAAACATGGCCTTACTTACCCTTGGTTATCGAGTGAAAGGGGGCGAATGTTGACACTGTAAGCCGAAAGCAAGGGAGGGCTTTATCGCGATTATGGGTTTGCCTGCCACTGGTATCATCTTGATCACGACTTCCCGAAACATAACAAGTACAACTCGATAAGACCGACATACCTAGTGTTTAACAGAACAATAATATCGTTTTGACGCCCATTCACCATCCCCGTGTGCCATGTTTACCTCAAACAATACAAGACATACCAGTAGTAATACCACCAACACAAAGGCAGTAACTACCATCTCAATGGCCCCATCGTTTTTTTTTCTCGGATGGGGGCCAAGATCCATCTATTCCCGGAGAGGCTCTACGCCGCAGAAACCGCATACCTCGGCAGCAGCGCCATCTTTTCCTCCGGACTGACTTCGCTATCCCCATACACCATCCGCATATTCTTGTCCTTGCTCTTACCCTTCTTCTCCCCACCAGCAGCGTCCTCTCCCGCCCTGGCAGGCGGCTTGCTTCCCTGCTCCGCGGCACGGATAAGCTGATCGATTTCATCCCCTTGCCTCGCCGCGCCCGACACCAGCTCATCGACAGTCGAGGCGCCAGGGTATCCACCACCTGGTGGCGGCACTGCGCCACCGTTGTAGTTGTTGTAGTAAGGGGATCTCTGCGGCAGAGCGCCGCCCGTCGGTCTGGCAGGGAGGTTGAAGCCCGGGCCGCCCGGCGCACCGGGGGGTGTGGGTGTTGCGCCGGGAGGGGGGTAGACGGGAGGGTAGGCGCCAACAACACCTGGTTGTACTGGAGGTGGGAAGGCACCGGGGACGCCGACGGGTGGGGGGTACGGAAATCCTGGTTGCGGGGGAGGGAAAGGAGATGCCTGTTGACGTAAATAGGATAGGTTAGCTTGTCTGACTTTGGGGTCGTAGCAGAAGACACCACAGTAAAACTTACGCCTTGCGCCGGACTCTGACCAGCAACCGGCGACACAGAAGCAGGCTGAGCTTTCGGCACAACAACAGGGACCGGTACCACGCCGCCATTCGCCTTTATCGCCGCGACCTTTGCCCTGTGCTCGGCCAACCTCTTCTTCAACTCTTCGGGAGTCTCGACCTTGATCTTCTTGGCGGGTCCCTGACCACCAGCCTGTCCCGGCGGCGGGTTGCCTGTAGCGGCATGGCGCTCGGCCTGTGCTGTGTAGAAGTTTGTGATGATGCGCTGGTTGTGCTGCTGGACAATGTCGTCGGGGACACCCTCCATGCCGAAGATCTCAATGTCGAGCCCTTGTCGGTTGGGCAGCGCGTTCTCGACCTTATCGAGCGATTCCTTGTGCACTTGGTTCATGTGGACGGAGAGACCGCCGGCCGTGTTCAGTCGCTTGCCGCATCGGTCGCACTTGAAGTGCTTGGCTTTCTGGTGGGAAATCAGGAGCTTGAGATCCTCAAAGTCACGCTCGCCTGTGTGGTTGAAGTATCTGCATTAGCCCAAGACTGCAATTTGGTAACATGAAGGAATGGCGCAAACAGATGCTACGTACAGTAGTAGCACCATGGACGAGCAAGGAGCTCCTCGACGTCGGGGTGTCCTCTCTTTTTCTTGCCCATCTTGATTGATTTGTGGTGTGTTGTGCGATGGAAATGAAAGATTAATCCGATTCAGATTAGCTAGACAGAAGTCGACGTGGTTGTTGACAGGCGCAGTGTGGGGTGGGTGTCGTCGTCAATGGGAATAGAAATGCTTCGTTGTTCTTGGTGGGTTGGCGATGATGGAATTGCAGTCAATTGAGCTTTGGTTATCGCGGCGGCCGTCGTAGCGACGCGCGCGGACAACAAATGTTCAGCCACAGTAGCACCAAGCTGGCCGGCAAATTGAACTGTGGCTGGTAACGCTTTCAACACACTCAGCCACAGGCACAGCACGTGATACCCCTCATCGTCAACATTACCGATGAGCTTCAAATCGGAGAGGTATCATAAGTAAGAATTCGCTAATTATGTACAAGTAACATGTACTCAGGGACATGTTTTTGACTCGCAGCTTTCTACCAAGCAATGCGAAGACTATCAATGGGAAAAAAGCCTTCCAACTGAACGAAAGAAACAAGAAGGCTAACTCCAACCCCACCACAACTCCGACCAAACACATGTACAACAACAGTACATGAATGGTATGCAAAGATCCATCTAGCCTAAAGTGACGACGCTTAACCCTTATCCAGCAGCATACGCTATGCAATAAGATCCTCATCCTCCTTACTGCCAAAGGGAGGAGCTCGACTTCTTACCAGTCGGCCCGGCCCCAATGGTAATCCTCCTATTCTTACCATCAAAAGACCCGAACCCGCTCAGCCTATTTGCGGTTGTCGTCCCCGACGCAGAATTGTCATCTTCCCCTCCGTTTGGACTTCCCTTGCCGAAGCCACTCCCATTCCCATTAATACCCATCCTCCTAGGTTGCGCATTCGTGAGACCACTGCCACTTTTTGGCCCCATGATCCCGGTCTCCACCAGCCAGGAGCTATTCGGGCCCAAACTGACTCTCCTAGCAGCCAACCCTGTCGTTCCGCTTCTAACAGGAGGCGACCCCGTGATAGTCGGCAACGGAATTCCTCCCTTCCTAGTGGTAGCCGCCGCACCCGACTTCTCTAGACTACTGCCCCTTCGATGTCTCGAAATGCCATTCGTGGCGCTAGCCAGTGGGCCGCCGCCCACGCCCATACTGCTTCTCCGTCCAGCTCCTCCGAGGCCCGGGTGGCCGCCTGCACCGATGCTAGCTCGGTGGTGAGCGCCCATACTGGCTCTTCCATGCAGACTGCCTCCGAAACTGGCTCTGTGGCCGCCGATGCTCGACCTGCCGTGGCCGACACTGGCTCTGTGTGAGACCTTGGCGACACTCGGTCGTGACGCCGCTGGTCCAGGAGTCGAAGCCGAGCCGTTACCGCTACTGGCGCCGTTTGAAAGCGGCGCCGCGCTAGACGCCCTTCGCTTGGCCTTGGCGATCGACGCTGCGGTGCCCGACATCAAGCTAAGTCTGTCGCGACGCTTCTTCTCCTGCAGGGCCGATCTGAGTTTGAGGGGGTCGATGACTAGGGAGTTATCCGAGTCCGTCGAGCCACCAGAAGCTGAACGGGGCGAGGTAGAAAGGCGGCGCGGAATGGCGGAGCCGAGTGACAATCGAGAGGATGACTTGCGCATGGCGACGGGCGGCTGGTTCTCGTCGACTTGCTGTAAGGAGGACATAGTTGGTGGAGGTGGAATCTTGGGGCTTCCATCTTGGTTGCCGTTGTTCATCGTGTTCGAGGTCGAAGGAGCCGCGTTCGGTGCCTTGGCGGAGTACGAGACCGGGGAAGAGTAGGCATTAGCTGCTCGACTTACGGGTATACTCCTCAACGGCTGCGCTGGTCTCTCCTCATCACCTCCGTTCGGCTGTGAAGCAACATTATTGTTGTTGGCCAGGTTCAAGTTAAAGACCGGTGGTGGCTGCGATTGAAGTACTCCATTGCCAGTGAGGGTCGATCCGGGGGTTGATCCAGCCAGCGAAGTCCTAGACTTGGATAAGAATCCGGCCTGGAACCTGTTCGGCTTGCCGATAGACAATCCCGAAAGATCTGGGATTGATGGCAACGCCGGGCCGGTTCCATCGTCCATTTCCACGTCCTCATCGGTATTGTCGCGCTGTGGAGGCGGGGGACTCTTCATATCGCTAAGATAACTCGGCATCGACGGTCGTACAGGCGAGATGCCATTCTCAGGCTCGCCGGGACTCGAATCCCACTTTTGCGGCGTCTTCTCAAAGTCGGCTAATGTTCCTTCCTCTGTCTCATCGTCTCTCCACCGCACAGAGGGCTTCTTCTTCACGGGCGTGAACGTAAACGATGTGCCGGCCTTCTTGGATGACGCGTAGGCGACCTTCCTTGCCTTCACCGGTGAAAGATGAGGAATGCTCTCCCCGTCCCAGGTCTCCATTTGCGGCTCCACGTCCGCTTCCGGCTCCGTCGAGATGTCCATAGCAGTCTCGGTCGAAGTCGAAGTTGCCGTTCCCACCGCCGCGCTAGGGGTAAACACCGGCTGGGGAATCGTCTTTGCGCCATTAATCGCACCACTCTTCCTCCTAAGTTTGGGCACACTGAGTCCTGTTCCCCGATACCCAGCAGTCGAAAGACTTCCATCAGGCTTGACAACCTGCCCAGCCGCCTGAAGCCCCGTCTCCAACAGCCGGTTCACCATCCCCTTCGCATGCTCCACCGCCTGTCGCTCCTCCATCCTCAACAACTCCTCTAGGCTCGCCATGATCTCAAACTGCGCCATCAGTAGCGTCTGCAAGACCGCTGCATCACCAGCCTTATCCTGCTCAACCACCTCATGGTATGCATCGCGCATGAATCCTGTTCTCAGCAACTCCGCCTCCCGCGCGAGAATGTCCCTTTCGGCGTTACATCCTTCGCTGTTCCCGCCCATAGCAGGTAACTGCGAAATGCTGTGCTGAAGCGCTGTATCGAGGGATCGCTCCCAATTGCACCTCCCCAGGCGCTGGTGGATGTGGTTCCTACTGGTCTCGAGCTCGTTCATGATGCCGATGGCAGTCTTGCGGATGGCCGTCAAGGGCGCAGGCATCTCCTCCTCACTCGCGCACCCGCGCGCATCGCAAACGGAGTCAAAGGCTGCGATCCAAGACGACAGCAGGCCGATTCTTCGCTCAATGGCGCGCTGCTTCTTCATGAATCCGATCACCTCCATGCGGTCCTTCTCAGCATGTTCGTAGGCGGCGTGCAGCCTGGCCAGACCCTCTCGTACCACGGCATCGCGCTTCTCGCTCTGCTTGAGGAACTTTGCAAAGAAGACCTTTTCGGCATCGCGCTGCTGGGCCTTGAGCTCGTTGATAAGCGCCATCTGCTCATCAATCTTGACCAAAAAGTCCTTGACGTGACGATTGACGTTGAACACATTGCGCGTGACCTTTGTCTGGATGTTCTTGGCTCGGTTCGCGTACCGCAGCGTGTTCTGCGTTTCATCAAAGTGCTCGCTCGACGGGCTCACGCATACAATCATGACCGTCTTGCAGTTTCCGCCTAGACTGAATTTGAGCAACCTCGTCAGCTTGCTGTTTCGGTAAGGGACATGGTTGTGCTTGCGCGGGTCGCAAAGCGCGTTGATGCAGCTGCCCAGCGCGAGGAGGGACTTGTTGATGTTGGCGCCCTCCATCAGCCGTTCGCCGCGGTTCTTGGTTGCGCTGGCGCGCTCGCTTCCGGCCAAGTCGATAATGGACAGCGTGGCCATGGTGTGGGGTTCATTGACGGCGGCGTTGCGGTCTTTTTGCGCCACGTTGATTTGCAGAACGGCATGTGAGCGTGACGAGACCGCGTTGGCGGCTGTTGGGGATACGGTACGGTACTCGTTGCCTTGTACTATCATGTCCATGACCTCCTGCACATCCTTGGGCTTGTGGCTCGTCAGACCAGAAACGCTCACTCCTTGATTCGAGTCCTCGCGCAGCATCAACCCTTGCTTGTTGGTGGCGCTGCCAGGAGGCACGAGCAGGTCCCGGATGGTCTCGTTGTAGATTTCGAGGTAGGAGAGGGTGACCTCTGTGTGTTTCTCGCCGCTGCGCTCGTTGATCTTTTCGAACAGCTCCTGCATGGTGAGGAAGATGATGCCTGGGGACTGGGGCGTTCCGGTAATGGTGTGGGTTTTGCCGCAGCCGGTGGCGCCATAGGCGAAGACAGTCGCGTTGTAGCCGTCGAGGACACTATCCAAGAGGCCCTTCGTTGTTCCTTCGTAGACTTCCACCTGGGAGGTGTTCTCGTCGAATACTCGGTCGAAGGCAAAGACTTGATCTTTGACTTTCTTGCCCATCGCTGGCACGACTGATCGAGAGAATTTTTGGATTGGGTTGTCTTCTGGAGGGTCGAAAACACTTGTCAATTCGGTGGACTTGTTAGCATCACTGGTTTGGCTAGCCCATCAGTCCTGCCTCTGGAGAAGAGAACCTACAGGCATCTATCATCCACCACCTTGATCACCGGCCGGATTCCTCTCTGGTTGAGTTTCGGGGTTGGCGCAGCCGCCAGCGACCCGTCTCCCAGGAATACCGTGCCCTCATCTCTCCTGACCCTGTATGCCACCGCATTCGTCAGTCTCGGTTCGTCCAGTATGTCGAGCGCATTATCTATGGGGTGGTGGTATTGCTCACAGTTGGGCAGCTTCTCTAATTGTAAACGGTCGGACACGAACTATAGCATGCTTGAAGTCAGCAAGCGCATTCCTCTCTAGACAACAAAGCAAAACAAAAACAAGCAAGAAAGCAATGATACGACTGCACAGACTTGCGAAACATACCTGCGACCGTAATGGACGAAGCGTTCGGGTCTGGATAGCCCGACATGTTGGGGATTTCTTATGCTCGCACCTCCACCTGTCTGCTGTCCGTGGCCGGCCCAGTCCACCTTGTTCTCCTTTGGTCCGGTTTATGTGAACTTTTGCAGGCACCCGGCGTCCTTTCTGTAGAGCATGCGGATCCAAAGCAAGAGGAGACAAAGGACCGTTATAGTATCTTGTGTAATCGAATGTTAGGTAAGTCGGCAGGCAGCAGAGAGTGCAGTTGAGTCGGTATCCCGTTTCGTCCAAGAAAGAAATAAGAGCGATACAGGTAGGTGATTTTTTTGGTCGTCGTCGTGTATTTTGTAAGGTCGTCTTGTAATCGTCTTCTAATCGTCGTGTGCTATGTTTTGCAAAATGTGGTCTGTCTGCCTGCGTGTCGTGATACGATGGTAGGTTTTCGTTATAGTCCCTCCAAGGCGTTGGGTTGTTGGTGTGCGATGTTGACAATGGAGGGGGGTGGTGGGTCATGCAAAAGTAAATAAAAAAAGAGTAAAGAACAAAACAATGGATGCGACTCGTGATGCAAGACGGATGCAAGACGCAAGGGAGAGAAGGAGAGGCGAAGAAGAAACAAGCGTCGTTATCGAAAAAAGAGTCCTTTCCACTCGCTTTGCGAAAGGGAAGAATGATGGAGAGATGGATAGGTTCAGGTCGGCTCGATCGATTCCATTTCTCCTCCATGTTTCCAGCGCGCCGGGCTCCAAGGGAAGTGGAAGCGTGTTTATCGGGCCCGCTGGTTGCTGCAACAACGATTTGCCGAGGTGGCAGGCCCCACTTGGCGCCGGATGTGAACCCTGCCTGCCGAGCCGCCCCTGCCCGACTTTGTTTCACCACAGCGCTACAGCTGCAGCTAGCGTTGAACAAGTGGCTGACAGGTCGAGCCGACTAGAGCGACTGTGTAACTGCCTAGCGCGACTGTGTGGGGCTATACAAATTTGAAGGCCGCACAGGTCTCACCTCCAAAGCTGGCATCAAATCTGCGGGGCCAAAGTCATGACAACCATCACCGGAAGTCTTCATTCCAAACAACAGCAACGAAAGCTCAAAACCACATCTTTTCGAGCGCCGAATTCACATTCACACGCGGGGGCCTCTCACCGGCCCCCTGCACCCCCGGGACTAACACTAACTAACCCTAACCTTCTCAGTTAACTTAAACGTCTTACACCTTTGCCCGGCGCATATCTCCACACAGTCGCGCTATGCAGTTACACAGTCGCTCTAGTCACCTCGTGACAGGTGGGATGACGGAGCAGTGTTACAGCGCATCACTTCCACTTCCACTTGTAAGTCCACCATCCACGACCCGACAGGAAACATCGCCATTCATCTCGACTTCCGTCTTCGCACGTGGCATTCATCCGCAAGCTGTGGCGTCAATGCACCCAATGTTCCAACTTAGGCATGAACACAGACTCAGACATAAGGTCATATCATTAAGAACTATGTACTAGAAGCATTAACTTCACTCGCTGCTCATACAGCTTCCATTTCCCAACATCATTCATCCATTCATATCCCATTTAATCATCATCAAATCATGCCGCAGTCGCAGCATCCAGGAACAACGCCCGTCTGCCTTTATTCTCCTGCTTCTCATACAGACCCCCAAGGGTATCAACCTCCGCCAAAAAGCTAGTCTGGTTATACTTCCCCACCTGGTCCCTACCGACCATGAAGCTCTCCGGCGGTCCAAAGAAGCTCTTGCGGACGCCGCCCATATCGACAATGATCTTCTGCACCACAATACCCGGCATGAGCGCCCAGAAGCGGAGCTTGTACGCGCCCTCTTGGGGCACCGCAAAAGTGCTGGTGGTGTAGTTGCCGACGGTGCCCCACGCGCTGTCGGCGACGGCGTAGCCCCAGCCCTCGGGCAGGTTGGCGCCGACGGTGGGACCGACGGGGCGGACCATTTTGGGCTCGGAGGGAGCGGAAGCTCCCGCAGGGTACAGGGAGATGCCGTATTCGAGAGGCGCCCACTCGCCGAGGTAGTTGAGCGCGGGAGACATGAGGACGGTCACGTTGGCCTTGGTGTGGTTGGTGAAGAAGTAGAGGTCGTACTCGAGTGCGGGCGCGGTCTGGACCGTGAGCTTCTCCGTGTTGAGAGGCACGAGACCGATGCCGCTGCCGCTGCGGCCGTACTTGTTCAGCGTGTGATACGTCACCTTGTCGTTGAGCTTGGACTTTTGCTTGGGCGGGATGATGGCCGAGTAGTGGGCGCCGGTGATGGCGACGTGCCCGTCGGACTCGACGAAGCCCTTGGTGAAGTTGGATGACACGGAACGGATCTGCACGGGGACCTGGACCATAGGCTCGGCGTAGCCGTTCCGGTCGAGGCCGCGGCACGAGTTCGTGACGTTGATGTTCACGGTGCTGGAGAAGGTTGCCTTGGGCGCCTTGGACCAGTCGATCGAGACATGGACACGGGTGTCGGAGCCCTTGGGTCCAACTGTGCCGTTGTATTGCGACAACTTGACCCATGGCTGCCATGGAGCCGCCTGCCATGCGCAGTCCTTGGTACCGCGAGAGAAGACGTCGAAGTAACGAGTAGCCGGGCCGTAGGGATCCATGGGTGGGAGCGAGAGATTGTTGCCGCTGTTGGAGTGGTACTTGTCGTCACCCTGGACAGTTGCGTTCGAACCCTCGACACCGACACCAACGTGGCCAGCCAAAGAAACAAAATGTGTCTGGACGTACACCATGGCAGGCAAGGTGTTCCTCATGGGCTGCTGCCAGTAGCCATCATATCCGAGATGGGTTTCTGCCAGTCGGTTAGCACAACTCCTACGAATTTCTTTTAACGAAAGGAGTTCAACTTACGATCCATAAAGTGCCTCCACTTGCCGCCGAGCAAAGCATCCCAGCGCTCCTGCAACTGCCAGTCCTCATCAGACGCCGCCAAAACCTGGTTGATCACCTCATTGGCAGAGTTACGCTTCTGGCCAGAGTACAGCAAGTTCTTCGCGCCACCCGCATAGATCCTGTGGACGACCTCGCCACCAATAGTAGGATGGAGGATCATCTCGAAGAAGGCAGGCTTGTAGGCCTCGTCGAGCTTGTCATAGACAGCCTGGGCATGGGCACGGAGCTCAGCCCACTGCTGCAGAACGGCGTCGGCCTCGTTGTAGTTGATGACCGAGTACGTCTGAGGCTCGACCAGCTCAAACTTGCGTCTGCTAGCGTACATGGCATACTTGATCATGATGTCGCCGATCTCATCGGCATACTTGGAACCGAACTCACGAGCGGCCCAGGTCTTGGCCCACTCCTCGGTGCTGTCAACGCCCCATCTCTTCATGTCATAGCCCAGGTCGAACCAGTGGTTGATGGGGATCTCGTTCGCCTTCATGTCGCCGACGTTGACAATCCAGATTCTGTCAGCGCCGCGAGCATAGGTCATGTGCATCTGCTCGGTCGTCTTGGAGAGCTGCACGGTGTTGATCCACTTGTAGTTACGCGGGTCGCCAACGTAGTCGAAGTGGTAGTAAACACCAGCGCCTCCGGCACGAGTGGTCTCGTTGAGCAGCGGAAGTCGGCGGACATGGCCCCAGTTGTCGTCGGCCCACAGCAGGGTGATGTCGTCGGGAACTTCCAGGCCGGCGGAGAGGTAAGTCATGACCTCCTTGTACAAGCACCACGCCTGCGGGACGGTGGTGACATCGGACACACCCAGCCCTTCGGCCAGGATCTGACGCTGGTTGTGGACCAGAGTGGTCAGCATGTCCACGATGTGGTCAACACCAAGACCCTCAATGGCCGTGTCACCGGTGCCGCGCATGCCCATCGTCCACAGGCTGTTGCGCGCATAGGGCTTGGCTCTCTGGACACCATAACGGAAGTAGTCATCGATGGTCTCGTTGTTCAGGTTGTACGCCCAAGGACCCTGGTAGAAATGGCCGAACTCGTTTTGCGCACGCATCATGGGCTCGGTGTGAGAGGTACCAAGAACGATCTCGAAAGCGTCGGCGAAAGGCTGGTTGCCCGGGTCATCGACCTCGAACATGGTTCCCCAGAGAGCGGGCCAGAGGTAGTTGGCACGCAGACGAAGAAGAACCTCGAAGATGAGGCCATAAAAGGCAGGCCCGTAGCCGGCGCCATAGGGCGTCCTCTCCCAATGCTCCTCGACCCAGTTGGTCAAAGCCGGCTGCTCGTCGTTGAGGAAGAAGCCTCTGTACTTGACAGACGGCGGTCCCTGGACCTTCTTCTTGTTTAGGGCGTAGATGTTCTTGTTCTGCCTGGTCGGCACGTCGGCCCAGAAATACCACGGGCTAACGCCAATCTGCTCGCTCACGTCGTAGATGCCGAAGATGGTTCCGCGAGGGTCGCTTCCGGCAATGACCAGTGCTGAAGAACAGCCTTGGATTGGGTTCTTGATCACCTGGCTGGTGAAAGACTCCCATTTGCCCTTGGTGGCCGACACGTCGAGCTTCTTGGAGGCGATGAGGCTGTCGATAATCTCGGAGTGTCCGATGGTGCCGGCAATGATCACGGTGTCGGACGGGGAGGGGTCAAAGTAGGCAGGTCCGGTGAAGTTTGCGACGCCAGTGGTGCTGTACTATTGGTTTGTCAGCTAACTCTGATCCGGCTGTCCGGGCTTTATTGGTGCTCGGAAGGAAGGTACTTACATGAGTGTTGTTCATGTTATCGACCGGGTTGTAGGTGTAAACGGCCGGACCGGCACCCTTTTCGCCATTGGAAAGGGTGTAGTTCGTGCCAGTGACGCGGCCAAAGTCAAGAGCGAGATCGCCAGCAGCGCGGATGACGCCCCAGTACTCGTTCTTGGCCACACGAATTTGACCTTTGGAAATCTTGCCACCAGCAATCTGGAGAGCACCCGGGGCTTTGTCGAAGGAGATAATGGGCTCCTGGCCTAGGGCCGAGACCACGGAGGTGAAGGCGAGCCATAAGGCCCCCTTGGCGCCCGTGAGGAGCATTGTGAGGAGGACTCAATGGCACGCTATACCCGAGCTATACAGTAGCGACTGTATGGGAGATGGGTATCAACGAATGCTTGAGAGAGCTTGTCTATCCGGCAGCGTGGGAGAACAACACGGTGAGGAGACATCGACATCACAGATCAACTGGTGGAGGTCGGGATAATATACCGAAGCGGCGAGCGTTCACGAGACGGCCCATATGCCCCCGGTGACGGCATGGTGCTGCTGCCCTTTCCCACGTTTGTGGATAAATTAATTAACCAGGAAGGTAAACCGTTGGATAGGTCGCATTCGTTCTTCCGGAAGGTCATCGTTGACCCTGTCGACCTGGCTCGCTTTCCCCACGAGAGGCTAGTGAGCCAGCAAATACCACCTCGGTCACGCTACCGTACCCCAGGAACCAAAGTTGGAGATGGAGGCGGCGGATCGCTACTGGTACAGCGGATAAAAAGAAGCTTGGGGAAGGGGAAGCGAGCGAGGTTGGGGACTTGGGGAAGTATATTTTCCCTTTCATGATTGGTCGGTGAAGTTCGTTGGCGAAGGACATTGTCTCGCAAATTCCGGACGTAACTCGCATTCAGGTGGTGGGGTGCTAAACCGTGAAGCATTCTTTTTTGACATAAATTAAGCTTGAAGAATGTCCAACGGTAAGAACCTGTCCGGCCATGGTTATTGAGGAACAGGCAGACCAAACGATAATCCACTTACATCTTCAACTCAAAGATGGTAATTCCATCAGCCAACTCGGAGAGTACCTATGTTCACCGCTCCTGAACCAGGACTGGAAGAAGTCGGGAGAAGCCGAGGCGAGGTTGTCTTGAAGATGACGAACGATGGAGACCCGGGGGATCGAACAACCGAAAAGCTGGGGAAAAAGGGTAAGGTATTGCGGGGAAGCGGAGAGTGTCAGATTGCACGGTTGTATAAATATAGAGAATATGGGTAATCGCTGTATTAATTGAGTATGTAGAGTAGTAAAACTGTATATATAGGTTGGGGGATCCTAGAGTATTAGGAAGGTCTGTAGCGCTATTGGGGTGGCTGGGAGGCTAATTCTTTTATAGAACTCTCGTCTTACTAGTTAAATATAGCCTACTAAATTAATATACTTCCCTAATTAAAATCCCCTTTTAAGGATAAAACTAAAGTTATTTATATATTGCCTTTCTATTTCTAATTATTTCCTCTATATTTTCCAATTTAATATAATCTATTATATATTCCTTTGTTTCTTTCTTCTCCTTAATTAAAGCTATTCCTAGCAATCTCCTAAATTCTATATACTTTTACGTAGATAGTACCTTTATTAAACCGTTTATAAGTATTTTTATTATTTTTAAATATTTAATTTTAATAGTTTTAATTATAACTTCCTATTTGAGTTAGTACTTATAAATATCTACGTACTTTAATTTAGTTACTAGCTTAGAGGCTTCGACCGTTATTACCTTAATTGTTTATTTATTATTATAATTGATAATTAGAATAGGATTTATAAGTTTTATAATTAAGCTTTGTATTAAACGTATTGTAAAGATAGTTTCCTTTGTTACGTTTAAGAGGGTAATAAGTTTTATTTTAATCGTTAATGTAGTTACGGTCGTTTATTTAGTAGTTCCTTAATATATTAGACTATTAAAGAGTTTAATTGTGAAATTTTGTAAGTTTTTTCGATTTATAAAATTATTTATAAAGGATATATTTAATGTAATTTGTAGGGTATTATCGCTTTTATAGTATAATGCTATATTTACGGTAGCATATAAATAGTATAATATTTTCTTTATAGCTTTATAATAATTTAAATTAGGGTTATAATTATATTTAGCAAAACGGTTTATAATGAAAGTAATATCCGGTTGCGTTATAACTATTATGTAAAAAATAGAGCCGATTTTGATTTAATACTAGTATATTAATTTGTTAAATACTTTATTTTTGAAGGGTATGAATTTAATATTGGTTATAAGTTACTACGTTATTCTTTTATCGTTTATAAAGCGGTAGATTTTATATAAGTATAATTATTAAAATAGTTAGATCTTTCGTATTCTACGGTTTCGTATAATTTTAATATTTAAAAATGATTATAATTCTTTATTATTAGTAAAATAATATTATTGTTTGAGGTTATTTATATATTTATAAGCTTTTTTACTTTTATTATAGTAGAAGGTAAAAATAATATTATCGACGTAATAGAAGACGAATACGCTATTATTAATGAGAACATAGGGTTTCTCTAAGACCGCCTCGAAATTTATAGTAGTAAATGTATTAATAAATTCGTATTACTAGAGAAGTAGAGAATGTTGTAATTTGTATAATACTTTTATAATTTTTTAATATTTTACTTGGTACTTGGTATCCTAGGAGTATACGTATATAAATTTCTTTATTTATATAAATATTAACGAAAATATTAATAGCGTTGTATTAAATAAATTCGAAGTTAAAACGTACAATTATAGTAATGAGGGTACGAAAGGATCGGCTGGCGAATATAGAGGTATACGTTTTTTATTTTATTTCTTTCTTTTACTAGTCTCTATATATAATAAAATATCTTTTAGTTTTATTAAATTTATTATTTTTAAAGAATTTGTACGTATATATTTATATATAATTAAGTAGTTATTTCACTTTAGTTTTAGGTTCGTCCCTATTGATTTCTATGTAAGTCCTTATTTCTTTATAGTTATTAAAATAGATTTATTCTATTTTTTTAAAGAAGTCCCTAAAGAAGTAGTAGTTAAGAGATTTATAATTTTTTGGCGGTGGTGGTAATTTTTGATAGTAAATAATTTAGAGTTTGTTTGTAAAAATGAGAAAATTGAATTCTTTTTAGGTAATAATTTTATTTTTCTAGGAAAGGTATTTTAATTCTACTTTCATAATTATTTTATTGTAATATTTAGTTGTAAGTTAGTATAATTTTCTTACGTTGAATATAGCCTTCTATAATTTAAAATTATAGTAAATTTTGTTTTTTATACGTTTATTAAAGTAAAATCCTATAAGAAAGGATACGGGTAGTAATATATTAGGAGGAGTAGGGTAATCTTTATTAAAGATAAAGTCGAAGGATATTTTATTAGTGGGTGAGTTTGAGTTCTTTAATTAGGGTGCTAGAGAATTGCGGTCGGTCTCTCTTTTTTAAGGAGTTTAGTTTAATTTTAGTAATAAATTTAGGAAATTATATATTTAAGCGTTTTTAAAATTAATTCGATTACTTATAAAATTTAATATTTTTAGCGTTGGTTGGGATTAGTTGTATTAATTGAGTATTATTGTAAATTTATTAGAGGTAATTTACAAAGATTATATTTCCTTTAGTATTTTTTTAAAGAAAAGGGTATTTTTATTAAATAATACGTTATAAGTATTAATAATTATATTTATAATTAAATTTTATATATAGTAAATTGAGGAAGTTATTTAGTTAATGAAGTATTTTATTTAAGCCTTAGGGTTTATTTTTTCGCGTTTTTATTTTTTTTTCTAGGCAGTAATAATTATTGCGTACGTTTTGTAATTGTAAATACATAGGTATGTTATATTTAATTTATATAGGGACGTTATATTAAAACTGTTTTAGTAAGTAATAAAAATATAAAATTGTTTATAAGGGGATTTTTAATTGTAGAATTATTTGGTTAATTAATTAATAAAGTAGATTATTGCGGAGATAACATTTAGTTATTGATCTTTCGCAGAATATATATTTGTATTTATTATTCGAAATCTCTCTTTAATTATATTTTCCGAACGTTCTACGCTACCGTTTTATATTTAGGTATTTAGAGTAGAGGGCTCTATAATTATACTTTTGAAAGCGAGGAAGCTTTTTACTATTTTAGAATTAATAATTTTAGGCTAGATATTATATTAGACTGCGAATATAGTAAAGAAGTCATTTAAAAAGGAGGTAATAGTTATAACTTTACAGTTTATTATATAATAATTTTAAATATACCCGGTATATTAATAGATGATAAGTATAACGTTAGAATATTTTTAGCGGCTTTTATTATAATTTAGGAAGTCAATAGCGAGGTTTTTTATTAAGTTTATAGCTACGGTTTTGAAATTTTCTATTTAATTTATTATTTTATTTTCAATATTACGTAAGCATTGTAATTTATAATTAAAAAAATTTTAAAGCGGGCCCCTATAATATTATTGAAGTAATTTAATATTTGGGACTTATAATAACCGAGTTGGTAATGTTAAATAATAGCTTCTTTTTTATAGTATTTCCGGCTAATTAACAAATTGAACCGGTTTCGTTTTATAAAGAAAGCAGCTTTCGAAAAGGTTAGAAAAAGGTTTTTAAAGACCGTTTAGTAATAATACGTAGAGAGGCTATAAAAAAGGGAGTTATTCAAGGTGCGTAAATAATTATTTAAGAGTTTTTAGTTTTAATAGAAGTTTTTCTTACGTAAAAGGTAAAGAAATATAAGGTTAGTTATAAAATTTAGGTAAAAGGTTATATTATTAAAGCGAAGTTTTTTAGGTTCTTTTACTCTTTTCATAATAATATTTATATTATTATATCTTTTAATAGGAATATAAAAATCCTTGAACTTAGAATTTATTATTGTATAAGGTATAATAGAAATTAAAAAAAAAAAAACTTTTATTAAATACGTAGAGAGAGCTCCTAAAGTTAAGGATTATACTATTTTTGAGAGGGTAAATATTTAAGCCTTCCCTTATATAGTAAATGATTTTATTAATATTAAAGGTTATTTTATATAAATTATTTTCGTTAAAGAATTAATTATTTTTATTATCGAGGCCGGGAAGAGGCTAAGCGTATTACTTTATTATTTCCTATTTATAGACTTTGATTTCTTTTTTTAATTCTATATTATTTTCAAGGTTTTTTATAACTTTATTTTAAATTTTTTTATTAGGCTTCTATTACGGATTTGCGGCCGTAATTAAAGTGGGGAATATATATTAATATTATTTAATAATATATATACCCTCTTTATATATTTTATAACGAGGGGAATAGTTTTTAGTTTTTATATTATATTTCTTTTATATTAATTATAGGTTCTATTAGGTCGAACGTTTTTATTTTTAATATTATTATCCTACGAGCTATTAAAAGTAATATTTATTTTAAACGCTCCTTTATACCCCTTAACTTTAATTGCGGTAATTAGAAGTCGTTCGTATAAGCTTCTATAACGAAAGTCCCTAAATATAATACGAAAATTAAAGATATTAGTTGTAATCTTTTTACTAAAGAATTTTAAAATTCTGAATACTTAATTAGGACGTACGGGTTTTAAATAATTTAATAAATTTCTAAATTAAATAACGGCCAATTTAATTTCTAAAACTTTATATTGTATAGCGTTAATCATTATTAAGTTCTAATTATCGATCTATTTATTTATTTTATTAAAATTCTTATTAGGTTCGTTTGATAAAGGTTTAATATAGCTGTAATATTATTAATAGGCTTCGATTATAGTATTTTCTTTGTAGTAATTATAAATACTACGGGCCCTAGTATATTATGTAGTAATAGATTCTAAGGGGGTAAAGAAGCTAGCTTTGTAATTTAAGTATATAATTTCCTATATTTACCTTCGAAGGTTAGTATTATTAATTTTAAAAAATTTGTAAGTCTTTTGGCAGTTATTATATATAGCGTTATTGTATTTATATTTTTTAATAGTTAGAAGGGTAAAGTCGGCTAATTAGATAATAATATCAGCTAATGAAATTTTTTCAAATTGGTTGGTAATTTCGGCGGTATTATCGGAATTTTCGTTAGTAGTTATAGAGGTAGCGTTAAAGGTTGCTGGGGCGTAATAGATTAGGAGCCTAATTTCGAGGCGTTAGAAGGTTTTTCGAACTCTTTCAATACGGCGGGTAATTCTAATTTTAAGGGCGTAATTAAAATAATATAGTTTTTAGGGCTTAGTAACGCCTGGTTCGAAGCCTTATAAATAGTTAGTAAAGTTTAGGCCCTTAATATACCTTAGGAATTTATTATTCTATTTATAAAACTTTGAAAAGGTATCGAAGTAAAGTCTGTTAGATTTAAAGGTAGATTCCTTAGATAGGGACATAGTTTCGGTTGTATATATAGTTGTATAAATAGATCTCGTACTTCTGATGTACTCGTATAGTATAAAGATTGCGAATTTAGATTATTAATTGTTAGATTGTACGGTTGTGTAAATATAAAGAATATAGGTAATCGCTATATTAATTGAGTATATAGAGTAGTAAAATTGTATATATAGGTTGGGGGATCCTAGAGTATTAGGAAGGTCTATAGCGCTGTTGGGGTGGCTGGGAGGCTAGTCCTCTTACAGAACCCTCGTCTTACTGGCTAGATATGGCCCACTAAATTGACAGAGAGAGTGGGACTCTGTTTTCTTTTTATCCGGGGAGCCAACGGCTTGGCGACCATGGGCGCTGACCTTGACCCTGGGCTTGTTTCCTGGGGAACTTCCTTGTAGATCTCGTGAGCTCGCGTGAAAAAGGATGAGCTCACCTCAGGTCTCGAGTGTGTGGGCGGAATATCGGATGTTCATGACAGCGATTCGGGACAAAGCGTGGAGACGAAGTGTGTGCTTCTCGCTCATCAACAAGGCCGGAACCGGGACACGCATTGGACGATGGAAGGTGTTTTCTGAACCTGGGAGTGTTGAGACTTGAGACTTCAGTGTGGAGGACAGGATCTATACGAAGTCTGGAAGATGTCGTCTTCTTTTTCTTCCAAATGGTTCAAGTGTTCAGATGCCGTATCCAAGCTGTCGGGTTGGCGAAAAGGGGCAGAGATCAACAACGCCGTCCGTTGTGTATCCTCAAGCGCAACCCTCCGCTTCTCGCTCCTTCATTGTCCGGACTGGCGGAGACAGGGTGACAACCTATTTCCGTATGAGCATTTGAGGTGAGTGGGCATGAAAGTCGAGCATTGATAGGACCCGGATGTGCAGTGCAGTGGTAGGTTGATGCCATGCACTGCAGTGCACCTCTCCATGCTGCGGCCGAGCACGTTGCGGCGTTGTTCCACGGAAAGGGGGAAATGCAGGTACGGTCGAGATAGATTAATTGCGTCAATAGCGGCATCATTCCGGCGCGAGGTTCCGCGACGACGTTCGTGATTCGAATGGCTCATCCAACTCAAAGATGATGCAGCAGGCAGATCGTTCATGTCCTCCTCCCCGGCCAAGTCAATAACTTTTGGTCGAGACTGACTGTCTTTGTTAATGTTAGCACTCGTCAGTCGGCATTGATTCGATTGTTGAGATGTTGTGGAGTGTACGTTTAGAACTTTTCTCAGGTGGATCGCCACACACAAAAACAAGAAGAAAAAGCTGAAGAGAAGAAGAAGAAGAAGGAATGAAAGGAAAGAAAATTTGAGAAACAGATTCTCAAAGGCAACTGGCATGCACGTAAGGCACGACCAGGGGCACGCGTACAATGCTTGCTTCCCAGCATCAGGCAGACATTTACTCGGCATTCGCTCTTTCCATTATTGTCGACCAACGGCTATCTTTCAGACTTCATCTTGGTCAAATTCATGTCATTGTTTACAACAATAAATCCTCCTGGCCTACAGCTAAGTGGGCGGTAGCAATGTTAAGATTGCAGGTTCGGTCAAAGCAATATACGACATCAAGTCTGGGACTGGAGAAAGCTGATAATCGGTGATGTTGCCTCTAGAGGAAGGCATACTCACCGAGCGAGCATAGGAAGACGAGAGATCCAGTACATAGCTGCAAGTATCTCGGTGGTTGACTAATGATGTTCTGGAGTCTGAACATCGGGATTCATCGTCTGAATGCTTCGTGGCAGGTTCCTCTCAGTTTTCTCACGTCCTAGCATACACTCTAACCCAGAGATAGCTGCGCCGGTTGGGAAAGCACTCTGAATGTTTCAAATTATACCATGTCCTGCATGTCTAAACTCCAATAAAAGCATCGCTACAAACTGCTCGATCCCTAGCTCTCCAACCGAACGCCAGTGCCGAACCTCGAAAGCAGACAAAATCAACGCAAAAACGACGCCTGGCCTCATCCACTTCAACCACTCACAGACTTCTTCCCCGTCAAATCCCACCTCCTCACCAACCTCTCAATCTGATCCTGCATATCACAGAAAATCCCAATAGCCTGCCCCAACTTCCTCTCGCTCTCGCCGGCCTCGGCCCTGGTAAACGCCAACCGCCACTGACTCTGGTCCCTGACCAACTCCCTCAACCTAACCGCATCACCAGTCGCGCTCGGGCCCGTAATCGCCGCCGCCGCGCCCACCGTGCCCGCACCCGGCCATCCCGCCGCAGGCGTCGCCTCCAGCTCCGTCAACAGCGGCGGGCTCACCGTGATATGCTTCACCGCTCCCGCCAGTCTCATGACCTCCTCCACGCTGGTAAGCGAAGCAGCCATCACCTGCGTCCGCGTCTGCAGACTCAAGAAACCATGAGCGGCTTCGGCAGCCGAAGCAGAGGAAGCGACTTCATCGCAATACCGCTGCGCAGCACCGCAGAAGAGGGCGGCCCGGTCCTTGTTGGCGTCCGTGTAGGTGGCGTCGAAGTGCACGCGCAGCTCGTTGACGTAGGGGGCTACGTAGCGGCAGCCGGCGTCGACGGCGAGGGCGACTTGCTCCATGCTGAAGACGATGGTTGCTAGGGTGGCGATGGAGTGCCGGTGCTCGAGCTCGCGGCAGGCTTGAAGACCTTCCCATGTGGCGGGGATCTTGATGCACACGCGCGAGGTGTCGAAGTCGGGGGAGAGGTGTTTGACGTGGGCGATGATTCCTAGGTGGGTTCATCAGCAAGGTGATCATCGCGATACCTTGGGGCTTGTATGCTCACTCTCGGCGTTCTTGACGGTTTTCTCGGTGGAATAACACCATTTCGGGTTTGTCTGAATGTGGATGAAGCCGTTCAGGTGAGGAAGGAAGCGCAGAGCGAGGCCAACGGCCAGCAGCTCGGCGGCAAGCTCTTCTACCGTGGCATCGGTTTGCTTTCCAAACATCCAGTGGGCAATGGGAATGATCTCGTCGATCAGACTTTGGTAGATGAGCTTTCCATTGGGGTCGACTTTGGTGATTTCAGCAAGAACAATGGCCTGGGTCGTGTTAGTGATGTTGTTTTCTTCTGTGTCTCACCGAGTGGTTACGCTGACATACCTGATTCGATGTGCAATCCGCAAACGGACCGTATATGCGCGCGACTGTCCAAGCGTGTTATAGTTTGTTACCGGCGGAGATGCGTCTATTTCCTTGTGTTGCTTACCATGGGCATCGAAAGTGTCACAGTCGACTGTGGTCAAGCCACGAAGCTGATTAAGGAGGGAAGCCATCGTGATTGGCGAGTTTTTGTTGTACAGCTTCGGTGTTTTGGGTACAGGAGGGGAGTTGCAGGATAATTGGACAGCGATAAACCGTGTAAAAATATATGAATGGCAAGAACGGATAGAGCAGAATGGGAATGTGAAGTGAAATTCGCATGTTGCCCTGATCTCCCACCGCCTGTTCAGGGACCGTTTGTCCAAGGCCGGGCGATGACGACATAGGCCGATCTATCGCCGGGTAGGGCTGGTAGGGCACCCGCTAATACCTGTTTGGTGTTTCATAATCGGCCACGGGATAAAACAACAAAAAAAGGGGTCAAAAGGGGATAAAAAGGGAAACAATGGAATTGACAAACACAACGATGAAGGGTGGGAAAAGGTAAGAAAAGAAGCAACGAAAAAAAAGATGTTGGAGACTCGGATACCGGGAGTCGAACCCGGGGCTGTTGAGAGAGCAGTCACTCCTGAGAAGTGAGAGTCAACGATGTTACCGCTACACCATACCCGATTGAACTGATATGGTCCGATTTGTTGTTGAAAACAGCTTCAGTTTTAGCACTTATCAAGTCAAGTCCTTCCCGGCAAGGGCAGGCTGAAATCGACCCCAAACCAAATATCAAGACGCGCATCAAGTGACCCAAATCCCTTCAAAAAGAGGGCGACAGATCTACTTCGATATACGCCTTAATCTCCAAATCCATTACATAGCGTTCGGGGTCGATTTCAGCCTGCTGTTGTTCGAAATAATGACTTCGAAGTCAAGAGGAAGGATGGGGAAGAATGGGGATGACCGCCCGCGAGCCGAAGCGTAGATGTCTCGGCGATACTCTCCACTTCAGCCCGTTGTCCCGACGCACTTCAGTACACGCTTCCCGTCGGGTCATGAAACTGCAACCACCCATCCCTTGACCTTGACGGAACGACCTTGCGATCTGAACGTTGACCCCTCAACGTTGCGCTAGGCGCCTAGGTCACCAAGGAGGTCGCAGATGTAGCACAGCCCGCTACAAGGCTGAGAATCCGAAAGTTTGTAGGGTCGTTCCACCGCCCGTTGCAGAGATTAAGCCTCCTGAAAGGATACAGACTGAAACCGAGGAGCTCTTAAGATAAGCGCCGGTTATCGTGCTCGCGGTAGGTTGAATCGTAGAGATGGTGGTGATGTGCCTGGCCGGCAATGCTGTCATGACGCTATCAGGGGCATCAAATGCACGATATTTGAGATCGCCAAACGTACCACGACTAACCTTCAAAAGCATGGACTGACTATTCGAAAAATGTCAACAAATCTAAGACAAGATTGCGCGTGCTTGTGGCGTTTATTTCCGAGAAGGGAGGCGCCGTCAAAAGACGAGAGGTGTCATTGGCAACTTAAACGCCCTCTCCGAGAACCGGCGCTTAAAATGGCATTCAAGCCACCATGAACGCGATGTTACAGCGGGTGAACGTGTAGCTCACAAGGAAAGACGGGAGGTTCCTGTTGAGAGATTTGAAACTCGAGAAATCCTTCACTGTGCTTTCTGCAGTTTGAGAGACTGCGGTCATATGTCGGTCATTCGATATCTGGTGGGGGCTTTTCCGGGGAGATGACAGAATACAACCGTCGTCATTGACGGGGAGTTGATGATTTATATGGGAGAATGAAGAAGATGAACTGGCCCAAGCTCCCGTCCCGTCCTATCGAGAGCAACAGAGCTGGTACCTTCCGCACGGGCCACAACACCTCGCCGGAGGCTTGTCCCGCTGTTTTAGCGTGCCTTGGTGGTGGGCATTAGAGGATGGAAGCGGGACGGCAGGGCATTTGCTTCCTTCCACTTGGCTTGGCCGCCCGCCCGCTGTCTGCCGGCTCCGATTCCCCATTCTCGATTTCTCGGCCAATCTGTAATTCGCCCGGAACGCCAACGCCGACCCCGGTCGCTTCTCCCGATTACCAAGGCGACGGACGATGGCGATTCGAGCCGGCACCTGAAATCTTCTCCCCCGAACGATGCGGCCGCCGACGTCCACCCTCCGACGCAATGTCCTCCTCGACAGAGTCGTGTGTCAACTAGTACCACAGAGCAGGTTGCCCGGTACACTTAGGACTCTTATCACAAGTTCACGCGCCTCAGCCTCTATCCCTTCACAACGCCTCAAGGCCGGCTATTTCGTCTCCAATGCCTTTCTCCCCCGCGTTAAGGCCAATGGCATCCACGACTCGGCCAGCTCCCAACGGAGCAGCACGGTAGCTTCCAGCACATCAACAACAGCCGATACCACCGACGGGTCGAGCTCTACAACGCAACCGACGACATCCACCGACCTACCACCGGTCGATAATAACCTCCTCCCCCACCGGCGCCGACAAGCCCAACGAAAAGCCGCAGCGGCCGCCGCCGCCGCAGCAGAAGCATCACAATCTAGCGACACACCAACACCCCTCATAAACCCCGACGCCCCCACCGCCGACCTAGCACCCGATGCCTCCTCGCAGCTCGCCGCCGCCGCCGCCTCCGCGCCCGCCGACTCCTTCAAGCGCCGTCTCTCCTCGCTCCTGTCGCTCTCCAAGCCGCGCCTAACCGTGCTCGTCGTTTTGTCGGCCATGGTCCCCTACGCCTTATACCCGGTCCCCTCCTTCCTGACCTCCTCCGCGCTCGACACCTCGCTCGCCCCCTCCCTCTCCCCCTTGACCCTCTTGTTCCTCACCACCGGCACCACCTTGTGCTCAGCATCCGCCAACGCGCTCAACATGCTCTACGAGCCCGACACCGACTCCAAGATGACGCGCACGCGCACGCGCCCTCTCGTCCGGCGCCTGCTCACCACCAAAGCCGCCGTCTTCTTCGCCGTCGGCTGCGGCCTGGCCGGCACGCTGGCGTTATACTTTGGCGTCAACCCGACCGTCTCCTTCCTGGGCGCCGCCAACATTGCCCTCTACGCGGGCGCTTACACGCCGCTCAAACGCATCAGCGCCGTCAACACGTGGGTAGGCGCCATCGTGGGCGGCATCCCCCCGCTCATGGGCTGGGCCGCGGCCGCGGGCGAATCCGCCACGGGCGACGGCACGTGGCGCGAGCTCTTGTTCGCCTCGGACGGTAGTTCGTTGGGAGGTTGGTTATTCGCCGGTCTGCTTTTTGCTTGGCAATTCCCGCACTTCATGCCTCTCTCGTGGGGCATCAGACACGAGTATAAAGCTGCTGGTCTGCGCATGCTGGCGTGGACGAACCCGGCAAGAAATGGGCGCGTGGCGCTGCGGTATAGCCTTGCTTTTATCCCGCTTTGTGTCGGGCTCAGCGCCACGGGCGTGACCGAGTGGAGCTTTGCGGTGACGAGTTTGCCGGTTAATGCGTGGTTGGTTTGGGAGGCCATCAAGTTTTGGAGACTGGAAGGTCATAAGGGGAGTGCGAGGGGATTGTTTTGGGCTAGTGTGTGGCATTTGCCGGTCATTATGGTGTTGGCGCTGGCGCAGAAGAAGGGGATGTGGGGGAGGGTTTGGAGGAGTGTGTTTGGGGAGCCGGAGGAGGAAGAGGGGGAATGGGTGTATGAGGATGAGGAGGAGGATGTTGCAAAGGCTGTTGTGAAGAAGTAGATGTTTTTGTAACGTGTTTTTGTACGTGTGTATGTGTGGTTTGGGAATCTTGGCTCATTGGTATAAACGGTCTTTTAAAAGAAGCACATCATTGTTGAAGGATTGCAACTGTATAAATAAGAATGTTGTATAGTACTTGCACAAAATGGATGGAAAGCAAAGATAGTAAAGCAAGAGTGTGCGTTATGTGGCTTTTGTGTGTATCTGTATCAATACAATGGTTTGCATCATGGGGGTTTGAATGGCAAGATAAATAACGCGCTTACTATATAAAAAAACTTGGCTGGAAGGGACGAGGACAAGGAGATGATGGCTGGAAGACCAATGCTTGAATCTATACTTGGTGGCATTCCTTTTCATCAATATTCTGAAATCTTTCCTTGCCATGATTCTTGACACCATTATCAATACTGTTCGACGCCGTCCTGTCTATGCATCCCATGCTGTCTGTACCCTTATGCCGTCTTTCCCTTTACCGATGGTTGTGTGGTTAAAACGATGATGAAATCAACAGGAAGTGCATACCGATCATTACGAAAAAGATTTGAGTTCAAAAGACAGGGGCAGAGAAAAGAGGAGAAGATGGCGTTGTGAACGCTCTCGCCTGGAAATGCCGATGAGTGATTGTGACGTGGAAGAGACAACAAGAGGGTTGGATGCATCAAGGGAGGAAGCCGTAGAAAGACAGAGAGAGAGAATTGGGGGAATTCAGAGACGCCAATAGTGAAACCATTTCTCCAAAACGATGCAAACTGCAACAATGAAAAGACCGATGTATGAGATAGCGATAATATAGACCGTAAAGGTAGGCAAACGAGCATATCGAGCAGAAAATGCATTAATGACAGAGAGAGTGCCCTACTTCGGGACTTCGCATACCCAACGACACCCTTGAACTCCGTTCGCAAGTGGCACCGGAAACGCCTAGAGAAACAGCCCATAAAGAAATACAGAAAACCAGAAAACCAGTGAAAAACAAGTACCAACAGAACGCCATGTTGTGCACGACTGGGTGTAACGAGTGTAATAGCCCCAGTAAGAACCTCCAATGCCCCTTCCCAAACCGAACCAAGACAAGATGAAAGACGAGAGATGATACAATGACCCGAGGAGACATTAAGGAGTGTAGAGAGACGGGGTTAGAAAGAAAAGGTGGTCGTGAATGACAGCCTCAGTTGGCATCACGTCCCGATCCACGATTGATGATATTGTTGATACCCATATCACCCACACTAGGCAGACGATTACCATGACCCATGTAGGGACTTGTCCCCTGGCTTGAGCCGCCGTGGTGGGCATATCCGGTCGTACCCGTGCTTGACACGCTATTGCTGTAGCCGTGGTGGGGCTGGTAGCCGTAGTTCTGATAGCTGCTCTGGGCGAAAGCCTGGTGAGACGGCGTGCCTCCGCTGCCGGTGCTGCCACCGGAAGTAGAGTGTGCACCGTGGATGGAACCAGAGGGCTCGGGGCTGCTGTAGTCGTCCACATCGTCGTCATCAATGGGGGTCAGACCGATTCCCGAGATGCCGCTGTCATCGTCATATCCTGATGAGGATTGGCCGTTTGCCAGGCGTTCTTTCCGGCTATACGAGCGAGCGTGGGACTGGATGTTCTTGAGGCCGTTGGACATGCACTGTTGCAGGTTTGTGTTAGAATTTATCCGATACAACTAGATGAGATATGAAAGAAAACATACCTGGGCCTCAACAACGTGCCACTTCTCACCACACCGATCAGCCAAAGGCTTCCAGATCTCCTTGCGCATGCTCATGTATTCCTTACTGAGACGTTCAAGTTTGAGACTGTCGAAATCGGTCTGACCCCGGCGTTCCATCAACCGCTCATGCCGCTTTCGGCAGGCATTGCCCGTCTTGTTTGGGAAGGCCTCGCGTTGGATCTGGTTCCAATTCTTGCCCATGGCACGGAGGGCGAGCAGTGCCCTGTCATCGTCCTGGTTCCACGCGCCAGAAGAGGCGCGATGCTGTGCCGGTAGAGGTCCGCCCACGGGTCCTCCCATGGTGGCAGTGGGAATCTGCATCGAAGATACTGCGCTGACGGCATAGGGGTCGTATGAAGGCATGGCCATCTGAGGAGCAGCCGCTGTTGTGGAAAGATCTCCATAGTAGGAGACCTGACGAGGTTGCTGATAGTATGACATGGTTGAAGCGGACTGGCTAAGAGAAACTGGGATATGTTGATATTGGTGGTGGTGATGGGCCGATGTTCGGGACAAATCAGGCATGATGTATAAAGATGTGTCGAATGGTAATTCTCTTGTTCCCTACTACCGGGAAGTAGAGAGGAGATGGAGAGATAAAAATGAAGTGACGAAATAGAGACGGAGCCGAAACGTCGAGTGTCGGTTTGATTAGGTGATTACCTATTAGACGGGGAAGAGATGGTATTCGATAGGTAACAGGTAGAAGAGACTTGATGTATAAAAATGAAGACGGCTCGTATCAAACGATGCTGATCAAGGAGACAGATGGTGATAAGGAAACCGAGACCCCGAAAAGGAAATGAGACCTAGGAAATAAGAAGAGAGGAGAAATGCTGGTGATGATGAACTTGTTGGGCTTGATCCAGGTCAGATGGGTTTAGGATAGGAGCAGAGGCCCGACTTATAACTGAGATGACCTCCACCTCCACGTCGACACAGAAGTGAATCCACCGGCCTAGTGTAGATTCGGCCAGGGAGGGCCATGGCTGCGGGTAGAGATGTAACTCTAGCATGGCTGCCGGGTTGGAAGATCTGAAACAAGGGTAGAGAAAGAGACGGAGGGCGGATTTCTGATGTTGAAACCGAACGTGTGTATCCAAACGAGCGAATATCGCCGGCAGCGGCCTCTGCTAATGGCTGGAGGGTTTCGGCATGGCGTTCTTCTGGAGATGGGCGGCTACGAGAGTAGGCCCTTTTGGAGTGGAGACTTGTTGTCGTCAAAAGGAGATTGCTGGTTGGACGGCGGCTAATGCCCTATGGGGGAGCTTGGGGCTGAGCAGGGGTGTTTACATGGGGATGTGTACATTTGAAGGTTTGAGAACTGGACATTCCCCAGATCCCAAGACTCGAAAAACAAAGCAAAAGTTGAGAGCAGATGAAGAATATGAGCCCGCCAAAGCAGCCCAGCTTGAATCGTCGATTGACCCGACCTTGAATCCCAACGACATGACTCTCAAAGATGTCCGCTCTCGTAGAAGTACCAACAGCGTAACGGTTCGATCGCTTGACCAATGGCAACACGGCAACCATTGGACGCACTACGCCGCAAATCTGAAGGATAGGCGAGACAGTTTGCGGTTCGCAGGACTAGACGCAGGTACCGTTACGCCATCAGGATCACCACTACATCGACGGGGGTTCGAGCCAGGACGGAGATGACCCAATGGGAAAGACTGAGGGAATCGTTTGGCGGAAGCGGAAAGAGACGCACGCTTGTGGAGTGTCAAAAATAGCCGAAGAAGCGGAAGGGATGCTGTCCTCCGTCTAACAGATAACCGCCAGCCTTGTGCGATTCTCAAGCCCTGAAGATATCGAGATATGTCTCGCCTCACGGTCCGTGTTCTGGAAAATCACAAAGACTGTGAATACGGCAATGACTTTGCGGATGAAACTCGATTAAAAAGGGTATTGGATGTGAGTGTTTTGGGCAAGCAGAGACCAAGCCCTACGGGGCATGTCAGAGATGGATGGAATGGCCTCGCGATGCGACCAACAGTCTGAGGGACGCAGAACGGGCCGCCGCCCGCCATGGCAAGCAGCAGTCAAAGAAGGGCCAACAAGGTTAACCCATCTGCCGAGCACCTGAACAGACCCGGCAGAATGGAACTGGATGAGAATGAGTTTAGGTAGACGCTCAATGGTAGGGTAACATAGACCGACTGTGTTAACAAGATGAAGTTTGAAGCTGTCGAATTCCCGCTTGAGCGTCAATGATGTTGTAGTACCCAAACCTCCAAGGGATCAGCGTGGGATTTTGGCCGCCAACAAGGGGCAACAGATGCAGCAAGCATCGGGATAGCGGGATACTGTGTGAGCAGGAGTAGCATCGCGTTGGCTTTGCCGCGATGTGTTTGCATGTTCAACCGAATGGAGTGCAGGTCGCAGAAAGTCAACTTCAAACCCGCCCCCACAGTCAACAACAATGGAGTTTGGAAGTCGGAGAATGCCGCGCCTTGACGGCCACTCATGGTGAACGAGGTGCGTACGGTATTGAGAGACTGTATGTTGTAGACGTACCTTTTCAGAAGTAGAGACAAGATGAAACAGGAAGACGAGTTTGACGGAGATTGAGGTGTCGCTGGATTGGCTCGAGTTCAATGACGGCGGCTCGACATCATAGCGGTCGTTCCCGCCCTCCATGACACTTGCCTGATTTGGCTTGAGAATCGCATTGAGAAATTTGAATCGCCCACCGAGAGAAAAAAAACCAACTCAACAGGCGCGCGTCAAAAAGAGGGAGGAGCGACAGTGCCGTGACTGCACCATGGCGCCATGGCAATTTCGCAGCGCAGCGTCACAGTCGCAGTGGTCGTCGATCTGGGGAACACTCAGAGAAAGGAGGAAAGAGCCAAGGTGGGGGGCTGATCTTCGTCTACCCGAGGGTGGCACGTGCACTCTCTGCCAGACGCCAGCAACCTAACAGATTCTTGAACTGTTCTTGATCAGCTCTGTTTCATTGAGTTAAGACTGTGTTGTGTTTCTGACAGGATTGGCGCTGTGAGGATAAGAAAACACTAACAGATAGTATCTGAATGCATCTTCACCGTACTACAGTTAACGATCCATGTTTCGCAGCCGCGAGACCTGCGTCTTTTGCGGGCCACAGCGCTTTCCCACCTCTCCATGTCAATTGCTCGTCCCGCTCATTTCACGGAACTCTTCGCTTCATTCTGGCCACCGTCACCGACCGAAATCCCCGAAATCAACATCAACCGCCAGCGATCGCCACGTCCATGGTTTACTTGGGCTCCTGCGGCAACAAGTGTCCACTGGAGCGCTATCCTTCATCCGCATCGACAATGGATTTTGTCCGAATATACTCAAGACAAACGAGCCTTAATTCTCCGCCGTACCCGTTTCTCATCCACATCTTGATGATTAGGTGTGCGATATTAAAGCCAGTTGGCCCCAAGGTGCTCTTGTTGGCTTCCCTTGCCGCTTCAACTGCCGTGAACAAAGCTGATCGGGGGACTCTACTGCGGCTCAGCTGCTGAAGAGATAGCGACGGCGTCCAAACCCGTTCGCTTCCACAAGACTTATCCGCCGGTGTGTACCCGATAGCAAGTGCTATCACGGGTCCTAGACCCACGTTTACATGTACGGGATCCTGTCAGCTTGTCGTTTGTGATGGCTGGACCCGGGTTGGCGGAATCATGAACCCTTGGTGTACGTTGAAGGCGTTGTTGCATGGCCGTGTTGTTACATTGCTAGTTACCACACACGGGACCAACCACCACACCAATATCGTGCAGGATGCCCAACGACAAGCTACAGCCCCCGCAATCTTCAAGGCAAAAGTCAAATCTTGATACATCAGCGACCTATGCGCTAGCTGGGAGTGTGGGAGAAGCTTTGTGCGACAAGTGTCGACGGGTAGCCATCCAGAGCCATCAGACCGAAGCTAAGCTTTTTAACCGTTACGCTAACGCTCCCCGCAAAACTATTGTTCGACACCATCACGACTCCCATGTGAATGGGACAAAGATTCGATACACAATGGCCCGAGAATATTCTCTCACACGTTCCGACCAATGGGCAGTTTACATAATCCGGGTACCATGGACCAATGAGCCTTGCTTGGGATATATCAACCTGCTATTCAGGCTAATTTGAAAGCCACACACCAGCTTCCCCAGCCGGCGCCCTTCTGATACGCCGTTTCTGGAGCAGATCTGCACCATGGACGTTGGCCTTCACTGACATCCCCGCCTTGGGTACAGCACGGAAAGCATGCAGAAGCACCCATGTCGATGGGATTATCACCCGGTCTACCCTTCATCTTCCCCCGGAGTGGTGTTGACAGTGTGGTTGGAGGGTTACAGTCCCTCGGCATGGAAAAGACCGACCACTACAATGCGTGTGGTGCGGTTCAATATGATGCGCACCGGTAATATCACACGCTTGCGAAAGAGTAAGTTATAATACTGTGATGGATTCTCTTCCGGTTCTAGACTGGCGCGTTGATGCAGGGCTTGTGACACGCTCAGGGTCTCTACCACAAGCCGGGCTCAGTGTTCCATTGACATTAAATAGTCCCCAGTCGCCTCTCGCCGAATTGTGGTTTATTTCTTGCTATCAGCCTTACCACCAGTACCATCGGTCTTCGTCATTATTACTCTCTTGTCCTCGTCAGCAGGCTTGTCTCATTGTCACTATTCCAGGGTCTTTTCCTCCATCAACGTATATGCGGCTATAAGAGACAAGCAAACGTCAACTTCTAGTCAAGATGGGCGGCGGAGGCGGCTCCGGCGCAGCCGGCTTTTATGATGCTGCTCTGCAGAGACGTGAGGCCATGATGGGGAAGAGTGGTCCTGCAGCGCTTGTCAAGAACTTCCGAGTCTTCTCTATTGCCTGCTTCGCCTGTATCGGCGGTGTTCTCTATGGGTACAACCAAGGAATGTTCTCGGGTGTGCTCGCCATGCCAGCCTTCCAGAAACGTGAGTTGCTATCCTTGAACCCTTGGATGCCCAAGAATGTTGCTAATATCACTGATGAACGTCGAACAGACATGGGCGAATATGATCCGATAGACCCCAATGCGAGTCAGACGAAGAAGGGCTGGCTAACCGCAATTCTTGAGCTTGGTGCCTGGCTCGGCACGCTTTTGTCTGGGTTTATGGCAGAGGTGCTCTCGAGAAAGTACGGCGTGCTAGTGGCGTGCTTGGTTTTCATGCTGGGTGTGGTCATCCAAGCTACGTCTATCTCCGGAGGACATGAGACCATCCTTGCCGGACGCTTCATCACGTAGGTTGCGCCGGATCATTCTTGAAGCGTTCATCAGCCCCTACTAACTCGTCACTACTCAACAGGGGTATGGGCGTCGGATCTTTGGCCATGATCGTTCCCATCTACAACTCGGAAGTTGCACCACCTGAGGTCCGTGGATCCCTCGTTGCTCTTCAGCAGCTGGCTATCTGCTTCGGTATCATGATCAGCTTCTGGATCGACTAGTAAGTCTCCTTTAAATTCGACTTCTGTCAAAACATGAGATCGCTGACACCTGATATCACGCAGCGGAACCAACTATATCGGCGGTACCAAACTCGAGACCCAATCCGACGCCGCCTGGCTTGTACCCATTTGCCTGCAACTTGCCCCAGCCCTCATACTTTTCTTTGGCATGATGTTTATGCCATTCTCCCCACGTTGGCTGATCCACCACGGCCGCGAGGCGGAAGCTCGGAAGGTACTCTCAAACCTTCGCGGTCTATCCCAAGACCATGAGCTTGTCGAGCTCGAGTTCCTCGAGATCAAGGCCCAATCTCTTTTTGAGAAACGCAGCGTTGCCGAATTATTCCCAGAGTTGCGAGAGCAGACCGCCTGGAATATCTTTAAGCTCCAGTTTGTGGCCATCAAGAAGCTCTTCCAGACGAAAGCCATGTTTCGACGCGTTATCGTTGCGACCGTCACCATGTTCTTCCAGCAGTGGTCCGGCATCAATGCGGTTCTCTACTACGCCCCGCAAATCTTCAAGCAGCTTGGACTTGGCGATAACACAACCTCACTCCTGGCCACGGGAGTAGTAGGAATTGTCATGTTTATCGCCACGGTTCCTGCAGTGCTGTGGATCGACCGTGTTGGTCGCAAGCCCGTGCTTACTATCGGTGCACTCGGGATGGCTACTTGCCATATCATCATCGCTGTCATCGTTGCCAAGAACATCGACCAATGGGAAACTCATAAAGCTGCTGGCTGGGCTGCTGTAGCCATGGTATGGCTGTTCGTCATTCATTTTGGATACTCATGGGGTCCTTGTGCCTGGATCATCGTTGCTGAGATCTGGCCATTGAGCACGAGACCATATGGTGTCGCACTTGGAGCTTCGAGCAACTGGATGAACAACTTTATCGTTGGTCAGGTCACGCCGGATATGTTAAACGCGATCCCGTACGGAACGTATATCATCTTCGGGGTGTTGACGTATATGGGTGCCGCCTTTATTTGGTTCTTTGTGCCGGAAACGAAGAGATTGACCTTGGAGGAAATGGTGAGTGCCTTCCATGCCATTTTGCTATGCTGTTCTGATTTGCACTTATTCCGTTACATTAACTAATTCGATCTTCACAGGACATCATCTTCGGATCCGAAGGCACTGCACAAGCCGACAATGAGCGCATGGAGGAGATCAATGCTGAAATTGGCCTTACCCAATTCTTGCGAGGTGATAGCGGTGCCAACCACGGTGCTGCTACGGGAAGCGATACTGGTTATGGTGCGGAGAAGGAGAAGGGCGAACACTATGCTGAGCATGTCTAAGTCACCGAAATCACTGCCGCAGTCTCTCGCTCTCTGAGCTCACATTTCACATGATGCACAGCATCAATCTTTGGGAATGATATGGTCTTTCCCCTTGTGAGCGTTAGGGCAGATAGAGAGAGATAGACGACTACTAATAACAACAGAAACTCCTGACACCGAAAATATGAGATTTCTTCTCGTATCCAAGGAAGCTGTTCGTCCATCTTTACTTAACTGTGGCCCATACCACGAAGTTTGGATAAATAAACAGCACGTACCGCAAATGTGCTCGGGTGCTGCAGGTCGTTTATGTCCGCACTGAGTGCACGGGCGTCTGGTGTAAGGGAGATGGCTGTATGCCGTGTAGTCTGTGGGTGTTGGTGATGAACTAGGCTAGGTCTGGGCCAGGAACCTGGCTGGCTGGAAATACAGATATACCCGAGGTATCCTCCCTATGTCCTATCTACTATGTACCTACCTCTTCCTGGGTTGGTACGTACTGGGCAGGTGCCATGGCCTTTGGTTCATCTGACGTTTCAGTGACGTTCACTGACTCGTTCACGAGCTGGAAACCCACAAGACGAACGTTCAAGTGACGTTATGTCAAGTCAAATAACTCCCATTAGCTCGCTCTCTTCTAATACTTACTCCAGCCATTTCTTTTCCCCTTGATTGTATCAGCCAAGGTTCTCGAAGCTCTCTCTGGCTCATGTCCTTCACCCGCGCTCGTACCCAACTTATACCCTCGACGAGACTTCTCACATCAACAATCCTCATCCGATCCTCTTTTCACAGAATACCTTTACCTTCCTTCTCAACAACCTCCAAAATGGGTGCCCTCACCGAAATCCTCGAATTCCCCTTCCGCCGCGCCTCCGGCCTCGACCCGCCTCCCGAATTCGCCCGCCTCCGCAAGATCGACCCGGTGACCCAGGTCCGACTCTTCGACGGCAGCCTCGCCTGGTTGGTGACCAAGTACTACGACGTCTGCCAGGTGGCCACGGACGAGCGGCTGTCCAAGGAGCGGACGAGGCCCGGCTTCCCGGAGCTCGCCGCGGGCGGGAAAGAGGCGGCCAAAAACCGGGCCACGTTTGTAGACATGGATCCGCCCAAGCACATGCAGTATCGCGGCATGGTCCAACCGATTTTCGACATTGAACATGTCAAGGAGCTGGAGCCGTACATCCAGAAGACGGTGGAGGACTTGTTGGAGAGGATGAAGAGTAAGGGATGTGAGGGCGGCCCGGTGGATTTGGTGCAGAACTTTGCGCTGCCGGTGCCTTCCTATGTGAGTTCTGGATGTCTGTCTATTTGGAGGACAACAACACTCATGAAGTTTGCGCAGATCATCTATACCATCCTCGGCGTCCCCTTTGAGGACCTCGAGTTTCTGACTCAGCAGAACTCGATCCGTACGAACGGAAGTTCGACAGCGCGAGAGGCATCTGCTGCTAATCAGTACGTTTTGCTTGTCTTCTGGGGTTAGCCATTTGGAGACATATGTGACTGATATCATCCCAGGGAGCTCCTCAACTACCTCCGTCGCCTAGCCGAAGAGCGTCTGGAGGAGCCCAAGGATGACCTGATCAGCAAGCTCATGACCGAGCAAGTTAAGACCGGCAAGCTCGACATGACCGATGCCGTTCAGATGGCCTTCCTCCATCTAGTGGCCGGCAATGCCACCATGGTGAACATGATCGCCTTGGTTCGTTTTTGATCCCGTTCTGCCCATATACACCCCATAATCTTCATTTCATGCCCGCTTGTAACTCCCACTCTCTAACTTGTCCACCCAGGGCATCGTAACCCTCTTCCAAAACCCCTCCCAACTCGAAGAACTCAAGCGCGACCCTTCCCTCGTCCCCGCCTTCGTCGAAGAGCTCAGCCGATTCCACACCTCCTCGGCCATGGCCATCCGCCGCGTCGCCAAGGAGGACCTCGAGATCGGCGGCAAGACCATCAAGGAGGGCGAGGGCGTCATCGGCTCCAACCTGTCGGCTAACCGCGATGAGGAGGTGTTCAAGGACGCCGACAAGTTCGACATGCATCGCGAGTGGCCTGAGAGGGAGTTGGGCTTTGGGTGGGGAGACCATAGGTGTATTGCGGAGTTTTTGGCGAAGGCCGAGATGAAGGCTGTTTTTGGTGAGTTCGATTCTTTTGTGATTTGAGTACTGACTGGCTCGGGTGAAGTCTGGTAGTGGAAGGCGTGAGTACTTATACGGAAAGTGATTGCTGACGGACTGACTTGGGCGTTGATTAGGAACTATTTTCAAGAAGTTGCCGAATCTGAAGATTGCGGTGCCTTTTGACAAGATTGAGTACACGCCGCTTGATCGCGATGTTGGAATTGTCAAGCTGCCTGTTACTTGGTAAGTTGGAGAGCCGGAGTCGATCAATACAAAGTGGGTTGTATGTAATGTAATCGCGGAGTGTCTGTATATGAGGTAGAACTTGAACTCGTTGGATGCGCTTTCCCTTTACCAATGATGAAGCCCTCGGACTCTGCCTACACTCCTTCCTTTGTCACTCAAAGCTTCCATCAAATGCATCCGTGTTCATGTTGTGTTATCTGACGTGACCGATACCTTGGCACTCCATCGAGGCAGTTACCCCATGCGGAACGGGCCGAGACTAAGACGGTGATGCCCGAGGTGAGTGACTCACTTCCAACACAACCACATTTTGATGATGAGTCAAGAAGAAGCAGGAAAGAAACAATAAAAGACACCCAAGTAAACAAAGCACTATCATAGATTTCTCCACGCTCTTCCATCCAACCCAACCAGCCCAGAACCATGGCTGCCGCCGATTCAACTCCCCGCCCCGAAACTGTCCTCGTAACAGGGTCATCCGGCCATCTCGGCCGGGCCCTCATGCTCTCCCTCCCTTCATATGGCTACACACCAATCGGCATCGACATCAAGCCCAGCTCAACCGCCACCTTCATCGGCTCCTTCGGCGACGCCTCCCTGCTGCAAAACCTCTTCTCCCCCAGCTGGCTTCGCGCCCAGTCTGCAATCTCTTCTTCTTCCCACCCCAACATCGAGCCCATCTCGCACATCATCCACTGCGCAACGCTGCACAAACCGCACATCGAGTCCCATACCAAAGCGCAGTTCGTGCAAACAAACATCGCTGATACGCTTACGTTGCTTGAGGCGGCTGCTGCTACTACCACTACCACTTTCAACTCGGATTCGGACTCAAACTCGGAAACAACAACCACCATTAAATCATTCACCTACATCTCCACAACCTCCACCTTCGGCCGTTCCCTCTCCCCCCTCTCCTCCTCCGTCCCAGGCGCTCCATTAAAGCCAGCAGCCCACATAACCGAACAAACCCCCTGCCTCCCCAAGAATATTTACGGCCTCACCAAGTCCAGCGCCGAAGATCTGTGCTACCTCATCTCTTCTCAGTCTTCACTACCAGTAATAGTCCTCAAAACCTCCCGCTTTTTCCCAGAGGAAGACGACGACGCGGACAGAAGGAACATGTTGGGAGACGAAAACCTCAAGCTTTGCGAACTGGCTTACAGGAGGGTGGACATAGCCGACATAGTCTCCGCTTGCATCGCCTCCATGAGAGCCCAGACTCGAACCGACAACAACACCAGGATCAACTTCGGGAAGTACATCATCTCCGGGCCGTCACCCTTTTTGGACTTGCCACCGGAGGATTGGGAAAAGTTAAACACTTCTTCCTCTTCCGGTCCCGACGGAGCAAATGGAGCAGGAGCATCAGAGAAGGTGTTTGCCGAAGTGGCGGAGAGGTTATGTCCGGGCATTTCGGGAGTGATGATGAAACAAAAAGGGTGGAAGTGGTTAAGCAGGGTGGATAGGGTTTATGATTCGCGGTTGGCAATGGAGGAGATTGCAAGAGGGGGATTGGGGTGGAAGCCGGAGTGGACTTTCCAGAGGGCGCTGGAGAGGATCAAAAGGGGGGAGGAGTGGAGGAGTAAGTTGACGGGGGAGGTCGGGAAGTTGGGGTATCATGATAGGGTTTGGGGGGTTTATACTACTGAGTGAGAGAGAGGGAGTGTTGAAGGCTCGAGACGGGGAGCAAATGAAAGGGTGCTGGGTATCGTGAGTGCAAGATGAGATGAGGTAGAAAAAGGGGGTGGCCCGTGCGTTAAAGAGGACATCTGGATGTAAACAAATGGAGGAGACATGGCACTCGAAGCAAGGAGTAGGTAGTAGGTGCTAACTGTCTGTGTATCAAATCCCACTGAAATAATAGCTATGAAAACCTTGAACGTGCGAAAAAAGAAACGTAACTAAGCTAATTATTAGCGGGCAACCACGAGCAGAACTGGAACTGAAACCATTTTAAGAAAAGCGCACAACCATCCACCACCGGCGCGTAGGTAAGAAACCATCCCTCCCACCTCTCCAGAGCAAACCACACAAAGCTCCTGGCAACGGCAACGGCAACGAACATACCGCTATCTCTTCACCCGGTCGGGAACCCCATCAGTCCTTCGTAACATAGAGATAAACCACCGGCTTCTGCCCCGGCAATCCACTCCTGCTCTTATCCCATCCCAAATCCTTGCAAGTCTTCTGCAACAACTCCTTATCATCGCCCCTGAACGCCAGCCCACGATACCAGCGCCCATTACCACCCTGCACCACCTCAAACAGCTTGTTCTTCTTCTTGCTCGGGTTCGTCGCGCCAAACCCGTACATGAGCTCCTGCACCGTGGTGGAGACAGGCACGTGGCAGGCGTGAAACGGCAAGCGGGCGTTGGGCGGCTGGTGCCAGGGCGGCGTGGCGCCGCACTTGAAGACGTGGATCTTGGTGTGCTCGGGCGGGAAGAAGTAGTTGTAGCCCGGCTCGCAGCCGACGCCGCCGGTGCTGTTCATCATGTTGGCCGCCGGCATGTTGGGGTTGATTACGGGATAGGGTTGGGGGGTGCGGCCGCTGCCGCCCAGGCCCGAGATGTACTGGTAGGGTTGGGGGAAGAGACTGGGCGTGGCGGCCATGGCGCTGCCCCAGGCGGGAGGAGCGGCGGCCGGGGCAGCTGGGGCGGGCTGCGCGTAGTAGTACGGCGAAGCCACAGCCGCGGGTGCGACTGCGGGCTGTTGAGCGGCGAAGCCATAGGCGGGAGCGGGGGCTGGCATGCCGGGGATGACGCGGGGGACACCGGCTGGGTTGGGAACGGAGCCGGGAGGGAAGGCGCCGGGACGAGGAGTGCGGGGAGGGGGCGGGCCGGGGTCACGGCCGAATGCCGGGTTGGAGCCACCGCCGAGAACGAAAGACATCTTGATAGATGTGCTTAGTAGTTGCCTTGTGGGTAAACGTCGACCCAAGTCTGTTGAATAGGGTCCCAAAGTCTAGATGGGACAGGGTATGACGAGTTGTGAGCCCAGTGATCTTGTTGGGCAGCGGACTCGTTAATTCTGGCTAGAATTCGTGCACGCTGACGGAGGTAGTCGAAGTCAGAATCTTCGCTTCCTGTTTCGCTATGAGCGTCGTCAAAGTCGTTGTCGTGCTCGTTATCGTACTGGTTAAGGATCTGAGAAATTGTTTGGTCTGCAAATGTTAGCCTTTTTACCCAGAGATGGTGGGATGTTCCCGCAACATACCCTCTTCAGTATCACTGACACTGTAAGAATCTTCGTAGGTCTCTTCAGAGTCTTCGGCTTTGTCCCCGAGGAAGATCTCGGTCTGCCAGAGGATACGGTCGTTGGCGTCGTAGAAAGCACCAAGTACCAGGACAGCCCAACAGCGCTGGTCAGGGGATGCGTGGGTAACTTGAGTGATAACGCACTTGACGGCCGGGTAGGGCAAATCTACAGTAGCTTCCCACTCTTCGATATGAGGAGAGGCCACGGTTGAGGTTCGTTGTCGGCGGTCTCCCAAGGCGAGAGGACTGCCGATGAAGGAGTGTAAGGGCTGAGGGCGGATACCCTGAAAGCGATAATGCGGATAGTGACGAGTGGTCGAGAGAATGCTTGCTGAGCTGATCTTGTTCGCGATGAAGAGAAAGAGGAAAGGAACAGAAGGAGTGTACGACGTGGGCTTTAAGTACTCCAGGGTGCGGCGGTATCTCCACGACAAGTTTGACAGCTTCATGATACGATGGCTGTAGGAAGACCCCCTGTGATCGAGTTCTGTGACAGGATGAGGCCATATCGCTATCCTCTGGGTAACCAGGAGGGTGAAGAGACGGCTAGTCGGTCGGGCTGTTGTTTGGTAGTCGCATGTATGAAGCTCAGTTTGCCTGACAGACAACCTGGCCAGCGCATTCTCCGTGACAAGGTATAGCCCACAGACCGAACGCTTCTTGGGGCTTGAAGACCTCTGTCCCATCGTGTCGTATCATGGAAACATCTATCACACGAGTCGGTGCCTCATCGCACATCGGACTGATGACCGTAATTTCCCGTCACCGATAACAAGGGGACCGTGACTCGGTGTTTGACATCCTTGACCGGTCGAGTCCGAGCACGCCATGCTCTTGAATCTTTGACTAGTCATCCATAGTGTCCAAGGAGATAACCAACAGCCGAAATATGACGACTCATGGACCAGCTGGTGCAGAACGGAAAGGGATGAACCAGCGCAGTTTTACAACCGAAGATTCGAAGATTGACTCGAGTCATGACAATCAATGCCATCTCTGCATGATGGCCGGGTTGCTCTCAGATGCGTTCGGAGTGTGAATCATTGATCATGCATTCCTCAACCAGATGAGGGAGCATTGGTGACGGTTGGTAGTACCAATGCCTTCACCCGTTTCCACGTATCTCTTCTGTTGTCCTTCTCCTTTCGTTAGTCATGACTCTACTGAAGGGCGACCAATGGATTGACGCAGGGTATGGGAGTACACATGGACATTGAGCACCGTGACGAGGAATTCAATATCAAGTCTTGTATTTACTCACATCCTGTAGCCTGTGAGCGGTGTGAAGACCAAAGGTCCTCGCTCTTTGATCTAAAACTGCTCCAACTCGCTTGTTCCCCATCAATGTTGGTGACACAGATATGCGCTCTCCTACGGCATGCCCCATGTGGTGGCATGCCCCATCTTGTCCCAACTCTCTCGAATCTGGCGGACCATCCATCACTCGGTACGACCAGACATGGAGACATGGTTAGCGTCAATCGCCCACATCCACGTCTCTCCCGACCAATCTCACAAATGCTCCCTTCACCTTATCCTTCTTGGAAAGCGGTGGTGGTGCCGACTGGGTTTCCTCTGCCTCTCGTTTCGCAATCTTTCTCTTGTGCACCTCATTCACCAATCCCTTCAAATAGACCTCTGCCTGCACAGTAGCGCTATACTCGCCAGGCGTCCAGCTCCAGACGTTCCTCCTGCCCGGATCCGCCCCAGCGGCCAAGAGCGTCCTCAGTACCAGCAGATTCCCATTGCCGCTAGCAAAGTGCAGCGCCGTGTTTCCATCCAAGTCTGCTTGCGCCAGCGCAGCGGGAGCTCCGCCGGGAGCCCAGGTGAGCAGGATTTGCACAACGGTATCGTGGCCGTTCAGACTAGCCTCCATGACGGCATCGCGGCCGCGAATATCCTGACGCAAGATGGACTGCGGGTCGTTTTCGCACAGGAAAAGGACAACTTCGGTATGACCGGCCGAGGCGGCTAACATGAGCGCGGTTTGGTGGTCATCGTTCAGTGCGGGGGTGCCCTCTTCGTGGCCAAGCTCGACGAGGATCTTGCAGATGGAGAGATGGCCGAGGGAAGCGGCTAGGTGGAGGTTCGAGTTCGCATCCCCGCAGACGGAATGATCGGGGTTGTGGAGGAGATAAGGATGGGAGCGGAGGATGCGCTTGACGAGGAGGTGGTCGTTCACGTGGATTGCACGCCGAAGGCGGATCGAAGGATCAATCCTGGGTGACCAGCAAGGTTAGTAGGCAGTCACTCTCTTTTTGACTCGATTTGTCGCGGGTTTGGGCAGGTTACATGTTTGCGTAAAGAGCGTATTGGCACGTCCATTCTCTAGAGGACCGAGGTGTTGTTTGAGGAAAACCCCCTCATGGTAGGTCTGGTGCGGCGTCAGACGACTTGCAGATGGATGGATGGTGGTGGTTGGCGCGAGGTTGGTGGTTTTGTGTTGGCGGACTGATGCATGTTTGGTGGCCGGAGGATGGCGGGGCAATTGCCCAAACAAACTGAAGTGGAAGCTGCGCCTTATGATCCTCGCGATTCAGCGCCAATGGATTTGCCAAGCAGGGAAGGTCTCAGGCCGTTACTCGTCGGTTAGGTGCACGCATTGGCCACCCTCTGGGGGCCAGCTATGTGGGGCCTCCCTTTGGGGGCCCGCTTACAGCCAGCCAACCGACTCTCATCGTCCCTTTGAGAGTCGGATTTTTTACATATAACGTACAAACTCTATAACAGTATAGAATCTGCACTCAACCATAATATTACTATTCTTTACTACATTATACTATAAATAACTTCACTCTACTCGTTTCGTTATATTCGATCTTTTGTATATATTTTTATTATACCTATATTTAACCCTAACGTTATATCCTGTATAAAGAAGGCTGCCTAGCATTTTATTATAAGTTAGACTGCAATTGTAACCCGATTTACTACCTTACAATTTAAAGTTAATATTAAAGTTAGAAATAAAGGGGGGGTTACGTATAAAAGTATAGGAGTACTATTTAATATTAGTAAGGCTATCGTTAAGAAGTATATAATACTTATTAGAGAGGGTAAGGCTCTACCGATTAGTATAGAAGTATATCGACCTCTAACCTTAATTATAAATAAGGATAAGGCTTTTAATATCGTAATTTAAATTACTAATTACAATTACTTCCCTTTAAATAATACCTCCCTTATTAAGTTAGCTAACTAATTACGAATTTAATGGTTATACCTCCTTCTATTAATCTCTATAGAGGGTAGCTTATAGAGTAGCGTAAGAAGTATTTAGAATTCGAATTTAAAGCGGCTAACTTTAAAAACGTAAAAAGGATAAATATTAAAATTCAATTAAACTCCCTTAAAAATTAATTTAAAGAGATAAAGGCTATATATAATGGCGTTAATATTAAGGAAGAGAACGTTTAGAATATAAATGAATTTCCCTTCTAAGTAAGGGAAATTAAGGGAATTATAAAGGTATAAGAGTAGACTTCCTTTATATTATTACTCCCTATACTAAATTATATAATAATAAATATTATTTATAAAGAACTAGGCACGTACGAAAAAAATTATATTCAACTCTAATAATAAAGAAAGTTTAATTATTATTAATATTATATCAGCCGCGGTAAGAATATCCCTTTATTCCTAATATTTAAAATATGAATTATAGTAAGGCTCTAACCTCATTATCTATAATCAAACTTAATTTTATTCAACTAACTACGTTTATATTAATTTATTTATAAATATAAGGAAATGTACAAACTAATTACGAAATGAATTTAAATATAATTATTACTAATATATTAATTACATATAATAATATTCACTACATATTATAATAAATAAAGTATTTTAATAAATATTCCTTTAAATTATCCCCCTCCTTCGATAATTATACTATCGATGATTAATTTAATCTATTATTTAATTATCCGCCTCTCTTTAAAAAATTAGAACCTTTTAAAGGGGATGGAATAATTATTAACTTTACATTAATTATTAAACCGAAAGTATATCGGGTCCTTTTAATAAATAAATTTAAAACGTACGAAGATTTATATATCTTATAATATTATAAAGCATTCAATATTATCCCTTTTACTCTCCCCTCTTATATTACCTATATATTTTAACTACTTAATATAGGAGTTTATTAAATAATTAAAAAGGTTTATTAGAAGGCTCTAATAGACGAGATTACTAGCGGGGCTATTAATATTAACCGTATAGTCTTTTTAAATAATTAGAAGAAAGTTAAAGAAGCGGATTTTATTTAAAATAATATATATAAGGGATAGGAGAAGATTAATCTTTGGCCCCTTAAATCCGACGTCCCTTTTAATAAATTACGTAAATTTATTAAGGTATAGTAAGAACCTTTATTTCCTAACCAATTTAAGACTATAATTCTTCATAAAATACTACGTACGTTATAATTATTAGCGATTTAATAACGTATTAAAAAATATAGTTCGCTTATTAAAAATGTTTATAACGAGGCTAGAATTGCCTTTAAAGTATTTATTAATATTTAAAGGTTAGTATATAATTAGTAAAAATACTAAAAGTGCTATATTGAGGTAGAAATTTAGAAGTAGAACCTTCGTAAATATATTTCTATTAGCAATAGAGCCTATATAAAATAGGTTTTTAATATTAAAATTATAGTAAGAAGGGTAATTAATATAAAGGAAGGACTAAAGGAAATATAGCGAGTAAATTTTACTTTTATTAAAAAGGTCGCCTTCGAAAACAACCCTAGCCTTAAATAGTAGCTACTATGTAAATCTAAAGCTAAGAAAAAGGTTAGGTTTAATTTAATTAATAAGGCTAATATTCTTAAGAATTATAGTTTCGTTCGTATTACTAAGGACGACTTAAAATATAATACAATATTAAAATTTAAGAAAGGGTAGGACGAAATTATTACTAATAATACCCAGCGTACCCTCTTAATTAAATAATAAAGTTTTAATTATTTATATTATATATTAGAAATAAAGCTATAAAAGGCTTCCCAACCTAAATAGGACTTTAATACTTTCTTAATTAATATTAAAAATAAAGAGGATAAATTGTATAAAATTACAAAGAAGGTTACGCTTCTTAATTATAATAAAGATTTTATACCTTTTAAAATATAAAGTAAGAAGCGGGCTAAAAAGGTTCGTAGAAGAAGTACTTCGTCGGTTAAATTCTTTTTAAATAACGAAAATATAAATATACTTAATAAACTCCTAACTATACTATGGTACGCCTATTTAATAAATATATAAATAGTATAAATTAGGCTATCATCTAGACCGTTTATATTAATACTATACCTTTTTAAAAAGAGGTTTAAAAAGGGGAAAGAAAAGGTTATCGATATAAATTCTAATGAAGAGGAGGTTATTATAGTAATTATAATAGTAGCAGGTAAGAAGCTAAAAGTGCCTGCAAACCGTATAAGGGTAATAATTACTATAAATAACGATTTTAGTAACGATAAAAATTTACAAAGGGAGGAGGAAGAATATTATATTGTAAATACGGACTATAAGGCTTTATAATACTATAATAATATATTACAATAACGTGATTATGAAAGAAATATATTATTGAATGTGCGTAATTGAGACGAATAATTTGAATCTTTCACTATCTTTTTTATTTGCGTTTTGGTAGAGAAACAGATTGTTGAAAATTCTAACCGTTATAAAGTTTGTACATTATATATAAAAAACCGACTTTCAAAGGGACGATGAGAGTTGGTTGGCTAGTTGTAAGCGAGACCTCTAGAGGGTGGACTCTATACCTAACTGACGAGTAAGTCCGGGTTCTCGGCGCTTGTGCTTAGGTCAAACATTATATATAACAAACATGAACAAATTGCCATGATAAGGGCGCAACAAAACCTATCCATGGTAAAGGCATTGGAGATGAAATGATGGTAGTAGAGGTAACCTTTAAAACGTCAAACCGCGGATGGATGCAACGGGAGAACGGGAAGAAGCTGTGGAATCAAATATTAGGGCTATACGAAAGGAACGTACCTTTTTGCAGGTCCACCACAGAACTTGGAGCATCCACAACGGAACCCGAAACGCCGACGCCGCCAACGCGGCGCAGCACCGCCGCATCAGAGAAAAAAAAAGGATAAGAGAAAAATTGGTCAAGATTTTTTCGGGTTCTTTAACAATATTAAAGCACCGCAACGTACTATATTAAGGGAAGACATCGGGTAAGACTATTATAATACTACGCTATATTACTATAATTTAGTATATTATAATGTAAATTGAATAGTAAATAAAGAAGCCCTTTCTAAAGTAATTGCTATTCCCCGTTTAAAATTTAATATTACTTTATTTCATTTATTAATATTATAATATTATAGACTACTAAATATTATAAAATTAGCGCCGTAGTGGTAGTAAAGTGATTCAATTAAAAAAAAATTAAATTCACGGATATTGGATAATTTAATTTATTAAAAGTTTGAATATATAAACTATTTTTTTACAAAATAATATACGGTTAATACTATTAATACTAGTACTACTACTACTATTACTATTACTACTACGACTATTACTATAACAAATTTTAATACTAATTACGACCAAACCTTCCCTCTATAGCTAATAAACGTTAATATTTTTCCTAAAGATTTTTTTAATAAAGTTCTATTTATTAAAGTATTATTTTAATTTATAATAAATATGGGATAAATATTAATTAACGAAGACGATTTTATTGGAGGCAATAATACTGAATTTATAGAGGTGATAAATATTTATAGTAAATATAATTTTAAAAACGCTAATTAGAGGATTAAAAATTAACGTCCGGGTAATTAGATATTATAGCCGAAGATACTACCCCTTAGGAATAAGAAGATGCCACTTACTAGGAGTAAGAAATTTTATTTAAAAACGGTTAGAACTCTTATAATATATAAAGAAAAGAAATATCAATTTAATTATTATCTTAGAAAATTTTACGTCCGCTATATTCGCTATATTCGTTACGCCCGCTACGTTCGCCGAATCTACTATATCCGCCAAATTTATTACTCCCGCCAAATTTATTACTCCCGCCAAATTTATTACTCCCGCCAAATTTACTATAACCGTTCCCGCTAAACTTACTATAACCGCCGAATTTACTATAACTGCTAAACTTATTATAGCTGCCGAATTTACTATAGCCGCCGAGCCTACTATAGCCGCTAAGCTTATTATAGTCGCTAAACCTACTATAACCGTTAAATTTACTATAGTTGCTAAATTTACTATAGTTGCTAAATTTACTATAGTTGCTAAATTTACTATAGTTGCGAAACTTATAGAAGTTAATAGAAGTAAAAAGCTTGTTTATTTAAATATACGTAGAAAGGTTTCAGTTAATATATTTTATTAGAGCCCGCTATTTTATTTATTTTACTTTTTGAAGCCCAAGACCCTTTTCGTATCCTTATAAACCTTTTAGAACGGTAAATACAATTTCTTTTTATATTAAGAGGATATCGTTTGTATAAAGGAATAATAGG